GTTCGCGCCTCCCGCCGGGGCCGGGGCCGAGCCCCGGGGCGCCCCCCGCCCCAGCGCCTCCTTTCTCTTCCCTTTAGATCCCCCTCGATATTTTTAAAGTTTATTTTAAAGCCCTTGGGTCTCCTCAGCTCTTCCTCCTGCTTTGGACCGACCTTCCCTTAAGGCCTCATGCTCAAAGCACATCCCTCCCCCCATTTTATTCAGCACACTGTATGATTTATTTAACGCACAATCCAACCTGCTTGTGGCTTACGTTCCCGTTTTACATCTTAGGCCTCGTGTAATTTAACTTTCGGTAACCAGGAGCCATTACAGCCTAGTGTAAGAGCATCTGTATTAATAACAGCTTCTCAGTGATGCTTCATCAGTCAAAATACTGATTCCGTATCCCCCTCAAAAGATGTTTTGGGGCTTTTTTTCCCCCTAGTGAAATCTTAGCATCACCTGACTTTATCTAAGAAGTTTGAACTAAAGGAAAACCCTTGGTTCTACCCTTTTCTTTCGGAGGGAGGAGACAAAATAGGCCATGATGCCGCTTAAAACAGCCTAACCCCATTGCTTATTCCTAAGGAAAGGAAATCAAGGCTTCAGAAAGCAGCAGCTGTTCAGGTTTCCTTAAGTTATTCCCAAGCTGGGTATTAACCCGGGTATTTATACCCCTCACAATCCTCACATATTTGCTGCCAATATTCCGAGCGCTTCTCCGCGCGCAACGCTGCAAAGGCTGGAACAAAGTGGCTTTTGGGGCCGGTTTACGACGGTTTCACTCACAGCCATAAGCACTGATGGAAACCGGATTACTCGCTGTATGGGATGATTATATAAAGCAGGAGCCTTCAGCCAAGAGGGGTGGCACAACCAACAAAGGTAAACAGGGTAGGGAGTGATTTTTTTCACTGCTTCTTCCATCCGATGAAAGCAGCTGAGGCAACTTCAAAATCCGAAGTTATTTTAACATGTCATATAATTTCAGGCACAAGGCATTCTCGAAAGCTGAGTTTAAAAACTTAGAAGTGATTAGATACTTTAATGGAAGAGAAATGTTAGAAGCCATTATTTGTTGTTTTCCAGTGCAGCTGCTGGTTGCTTCTTCTAAAAATTGTCTATCAGACCTGAATAAAATAAAAGTATAAGAGGCTATGAAGACAGAATTAAAAACAAAACACCAACCAAACTGAGATTGGAACGAGAAAGGATGGGGGTATCAGCATTTGCCCCTTTTGGCATATGCTCTGAAGCTTGTAATATCCATATAGCGCTGAATTACAGCCCTCTATTCATATTGTCTTAAAGACCGTCTGCCTCATTTCAAACAGGGAACATTAAATAACAAAATAAAGATATATCTGTAAGTGTTCTGTTGACAGTGTTCTGTTTATGGATACTCCTGGCGTGTGTTATTCTCATGCCTGGCTCTACTTGCAATGGGGCCCAAGGTGAATTTATCCATGTGAAAGCCTGGATAAATTCCAGGCAGGTTCCATCTAGGAAGACTGCTTTCTAACGCAGAGCGGTTTTCCTGCTTTTGGAAAAAGGACACMTATTAGTCTTCTGAAAAATCAGAGTTTTCATCCAGCCGATCAAACATTCAGAGGATAATCKGTCAGTCTTGCTCTTTCCTATAAGCCTCAAGGAATAACAAACAGAGGAGATACAGAACTGAAATGTTCTTTATAGTTTCAGATACGAGACTGGAAGATTTTCGCTCCTGTTTGCAGTACAGAATGAAAATACCTAAATCAGATAAGCTTGCTTTTTATCCTGTTTTTTTTTCTTAGCTGTTGTCATGAAAGCATCAATATCATAATAATACCATTATCATCATAAGAATAAGACCAAGAATATTGAAAACATTTAGTTTATATATAAGGATAAACATCCTCAGAACACCTGCTTGTTTGCTCCTTTAATAAATTAATGTAATTCCTTCCTTAAATTGAAGGAGGAAGGATTTGCAGAAGACATCCACGCAGCAGAGGATTTTATCATTACCAGAATTATAAGTGATTGAATCCCTGGCGTGTAGGGAAGGAAGAAGGGCAATTCCATGAGGGAGCATTTGGACGGTGACTGCGGCGACGGCGCTGGTTTGGTGGCACCAAACACGCTCTGCGCTATGCAGGGAAGGGTCATCGGGCTCGGAGGGCCTCTTCCCTCGCCCCCAGTTTATTCAGCTACCYGGGATTAGTGCAGGAATGTCTCGTAACGAAACCCTCTGCCAGTCTCGGCTTGTTTTGATTAGCAGTGAAATAACACGTCTGCAAAGGGGAGACACCTCTACAACCGTATGAGTCACTGAGGACCTTTCAGGGGTGCAGACACCGGTGCCATTCCAGCAGCAGGAGCCCTCCTGAGGCGGAGCCACTGTCCTTTTTTACCACCACTTTTTGTCACCGTCCGGGTTTGTGCATCCATAAGAAGGGAGACATCAGGCTGCTCAGTGAAGCGTTGAGTATTTCCAGGAATAGAGAGCTCACAACCTGCCATCCCTTCTCATTTTTTGGCCGCCCTCTGTGATGATTTCCCCGCCAGGGTCTGACTGTGGTGACCTTTGTTGCAGTCTGTGTCTGCTGCCCTCGCTCAGCAGCTCTGAGAAAAAAACCCTGTGTCTGTCTCAACAACAAAAACCCTTCCCCATTAAGAGGGAAGAATCCCAACATCTTCCTCAGCCTTAAGCATCTTCTTCAACTCCTTAATTATCTTGGTGGCCCCAAATCTCCACTTAAATTCTCAAGACAATTTAACTTCTGCCGGGGGGAGTTGCCTCCCACTTTATACCCCTCTGTCTTTAGTTATACCAGTGGCCCAGCAGCTGTTTTAAGGGGATAGGACAATCCCCCTATTTTTAAGCCACAGTGATTTTTTAAAAATTATTAATTAACAAAGGATAATTCTGGAATCTAAGAAGTGGTACGTGCAAATTTACTCTTCCCTGTTGTTAAAATAGGATCATGTAATGTTCCTGAACAGGACCTAGACGAGTCCCTCCTGCAGACCAAGGAACGCACTGCCCCTGCAACCCGTGAATTTGATTTGGCAAGTTAAGGCCAGCAAATGTTTGAAACATAGGGAGCATAAAATGCCTTCCATGCAGCAAAGTATAGATTAAAGGAATTCATTTTCTTACTCCTGTGAAATTCTGATGTCAAGATTATTGAATTAAGATGATTTTAATCCTGTCAGGCTTCTCTCTGCAGCTCTGCTAGGTCCTGCAAGGATACAGCAAGTGCAAAGGTACGAGCTCTTTCATGACTGCGTTGTCTTCTTTGCAGATGTCTCTCCCGTTGTGGCAGGCCTCATTGGTGCTACTGTCCTTGTGGTGTCTGTCTCGGTAACAGTTTTTGTGTGGACATGCTGTCATCAGCAGGCAGAAAAAAAGCACAAAACTCCACCGTACAAATTTATTCACATGCTGAAAGGCATCAGTATCTACCCAGAGACCTTGAGCAACAAGAAGAAAATTAACCGAATCCGGAGAGACAAGAATGGCACTCCCAAGGAGCCTGGAAGGGGAAACCTTTTGGTGGATGCCGCTGAATCCGGTTTAATAGGCTCCGATAAGACCCCTGATGGGCCAAATGCAGCCCCCCACGTTGATCAGCTCCCAATAAAAGTAGATTATGGAGATGAACTAAGTCCAGATCAAAGCCTCACTCCAGGAGGGAGTAAAACCTCCTCGCCATCTTCTCCGGGGGACGATGTCATGTTGGGCGAACTGACGTTCTCAGTGGACTACAACTTCCCTAAAAAAGCACTGGTGGTCACCATTCAGGAGGCCCACGGGCTGCCGGTGATGGATGAGCATACTCAGAGCTCTGACCCTTACATCAAGATGACAATTCTTCCAGATAAAAGGCATCGAGTGAAGACTCGTGTCCTGCGCAAGACTCTCGAGCCCGTCTTCGATGAAACCTTCACCTTCTACGGGATCCCCTACAGCCAGCTGCAGGACTTGGTGCTGCACTTCCTCGTGCTGAGTTTCGATCGCTTCTCCCGAGATGACGTTATCGGCGAAGTCATGGTGCCCCTTGCAGGGGTGGACCCTAGCACTGGAAAAGTTCAGCTCACCAGAGAGATCCTCAAAAGGAACATCCAGGTAGGGAACTTCACATCCCGTGATGGGAGGCGACACACATCACATTTGATCCCAGGTATTTTGATCCAGGACACTCGGTGTCTAAGAGGCAGGAATGCTACAAATCCTTAGTCATATCACTCATTTCCTCATCCCGATACATATATTAATAGYAATATATGGCTGTACTGCCAGGTAGTTCTCTGCACTGGGGTTATAGAGGTTTGATACATACAGTAACTGTGGAGTCATAGAAATAATGGATGCTACAACTGATGAGATGACAAGAAAAAGGCAAAACCCCCATCTCCGGGTGGAAGAGCTGATGCAACAAAGYGTCTGCCTGTCTCCATTGAGATAGGGGAATCCCTTTTACACACAGTGATAGATACTTTGCTTTGCAAAGACAAATCTCACTTAGAGAGGGAACCGTCTGACCGTTTTGGACTATTTTTGCTATCTGTCTTCCAGGAAATAGCATTCAGCCTCACTTCTTGCTCTAACCTGTTGCAAATTGTTGCCAGGCTCTATAAAATATTTTCTTAGGCCCTAGAATAGCTGTATTCTAATTAAAAGCTTTTTTCCTACTGCATACAGCACTTAAATTATTTTAAAATAAGCTAAAGGCTACCCAGTGTAAATCAGAATGCAGCATTTTGTGTATTCTAAATTTTGTCATGGCTCCTGACATTCATTTCCMGACTATTATGGTGTTACCACATAATCACTCTCCCTTTTCCCTGTTTAGTCTCTTTTTTTCTGTYGTCCTCCTGTTCATGCTTGTTCCTTTTCCTCACAAAATCTCCTCTGGGGCTGTGTTAATGTCTTACGACAGGAATGAGTTGCTAAAATCCGTGCTGGACTTGGTGAACAGCTGATGAGAGAGAGCAAGGCTGATGGAAAGGGCTTTGTTTTTTGCAGCAAGGCACATGGCACCAGTCCATGACATCCTAACCTGGTATTAATTGAAAACCCATAGGCAACCTACCTGCTGGCAAGCCTTTGCTTTACTTTCTACATTGCAAAAAAAGAGAAAAAGCTCATAGTGAAAACCAGTTTTAATCAAGGATCCACCTTATGTAACATTTATGAGTAATCAAAATGAGCATTTACCTTGGTGTCAGCAGTGTCTTGAAAATCTGCATGGTTTCACAGTGGCAACACAGCTTCTACTGAAGATGGTTTTCTGTGGAGTGGGAAGGTTCAAATCTGGAACAGGGAATCACTTCTAAAATGCACTTTCTCTCTGCACTGATTCAAGCCAGTAAAGGTAAATATCCCAACAGATGTTCCCCATACGGCCTAAAAGATGATCTCATCTCTTACTTAGAGGTAACCGTATGAAATTACATCCGACTAAATATACATCACCAAGGCTAGAAATATTGTTTTCCCCCTCAAAAGATGAACATGTATTACATAAAGCTCCGTGTCTTAGTTTCCATCTTCATGCAAATAACYGTCTTTGAGAGGGACCAGCGTAACGTGCTAGACCTTTGCAGCATAGTTTATGCCATTAAATAGCTGGTACCTGTAGAAGGCTATTAAATACTATTCTCTTCTTAAAACAGCAAAAGAGATGTACTCRTCCCCGAGTCAGCAAAAGCAGCTTGTTATTTTCAAACCTTGATTTTGTATCTTCGTGCACAGATAAGTCCCTTCTCAAAAGCCATCAGCTAGGAGAGGGTCACAGGACACAATAATTTAGCTCAGCGGGGACCTGTGGAGATGATCTGGTTTAACCCCTTGCTCAGAGCAAAGCCAGTGTCACAGTTAGATGCTTTAAACAACATACATTTAACAAGGACAAAAAACTGCAGAGATCTCCTCTTTGTCACTTGTACGTGCTGGTTTTCGGGTCTTTGTCCATTGTGTTCTGGTGTACTGAAGGAGTCAGAGTCCTTCACATTTCCTCCTGGGGCCAGGACTTGTGAATACATTGGCTTCAAATTAAATACATGGGAATTATTCGCTTTTAATGAGCATTTCCCATGTTTAGCTTTACACCAATAGTTACCACCACCAAATAACCTCAATAATGCTATTTAGAACCGAGTCATTGCTCGAGTGCTCACCGGCACACACAGACGGMTCCCTTACTGCACGGTCTGGTTATTAGCGGGATTTACCTGTTCCAAGAAATTGCTTTTTTGGGACCACTGATATTTCTCCTTCTTGTTTCTAACTCAGCTTCTTCTGTTGTTGTTTCTGTTTCTGATCGTTTCTGCTGCTTTTCCACAGAAGTGCATTAGCAGAGGAGAGCTGCAAGTCTCCCTGTCGTATCAGCCCGTGGCGCAGAGAATGACTGTGGTGGTGCTGAAAGCCAGACACTTGCCAAAGATGGATATCACTGGCCTCTCAGGTAGAAGCTATTTACTCGAGCTGTAAATGTGAACACATGGAGGGCAGTTTACAGCTGGACACATTAGACAATTTAGAGGTGGTTAGCAAAGTGGTAGCTTGTTGCTTGCTAAAGAATAGCGAAGCATAGCTAAAAATACAAGCTGAGGAGGGAAAGATCCCCTTCACAAACAGACTGTGCTGTTAGTTGTTGGAGGGGAAGGGTGTTACGGGGAAAAACAACGTGCATTCTGAGAGGTAACAGTGTTGGGGAGAGAATCTTCATCACTAGGGGTTGACTTAGATCTTCTCATGTCGGACGTGAACGTTTTTGTTGCCTCTTTTCCCTTTTCCTCAAGCCCTTTCTCTGGCTGATGGATCACTAAGAGTGACAAAACCGCTTACAAAGCAACAGATGGTTATACAAGTGAGACCAGCTCATTCATACTGTGATACCAGCAATTGTATCATGGTGGCATCATCCAGTTTGCTTTACAAAGATAGCATTTTCCAAGGTTTTCCATGCTTCTTTTGGGAAAACTGTAGCAACTCGCTGTATTAGGGATTATTATAAGATCATTATTTTAAAGGGATAAAGAACGTGGAGCTAGTTCCTGAAAGAGGGTAAAATTACTTTTTGTCATGGATGACAAGGAAAATTGAAATGCTGGGGCAAAGACCTGAACAATGGCTACTGGGAGGATTAGTTAGCAGAGTTCACGCGGGACTCTTGTTTTTCCCCAACCCCTGTACAACCTTGACACTGGTAGARACCCTGAAGTGCTTAAGTATAGTAAGTATACTTATGTAAAAGCATCGGTTGCTTTGCAGCGAGCAACTAAACAAGACCCCTCCCTGGGACAGCTCAAGTGGRTAGCTCAGCCTTATGCAGGCAATTGTGGGTGGCAGAAGCCAAATCCTGCCCAGTATTTCCAGGAGGAATCGCTGAGCTGTGTTATTAGTTTCTCTCCCTCTCCTCTGGCAGATCCCTACGTTAAGGTGAACGTTTATTACGGGAGAAAGCGTATAGCGAAAAAGAAGACTCACGTGAAGAAGTGCACTTTGAACCCCGTCTTCAACGAATCCTTCATCTACGACATTCCCGTCGATCTCCTTCCTGACATCAGCATCGAGTTCCTTGTGATCGACTTTGACCGCACCACCAAAAACGAGGTAGTGGGACGGCTCATCCTGGGCGCACACAGCATCACCGCGGGTGGTGTCGAACACTGGCGAGAGGTGTGCGACAACCCCAGGAAGCCGGTTGCCAAGTGGCACAGCCTGAGCGAGTACTAGCAGGAGTACTAGCAGTACTCCTAGGACAGACTTCACCCTTGTTCTAGCTGTAGGAACTCAACTCTGGTAACAAGCAGCCGATTGGGTCTCTAGTGATGTGATTTTTGCAGGGCACTAAAATTCTAAAGAGCATTAAATTAAAAAGAAACCACAGATATATATAACAGTGTACTCACGCTATTGCATGCCTAATACAAACTGAAATTAGTATAACTACAATATCAAGTTGCAGATTTTAATACAATTATCTGTCACTATGGAAGTTGTGTTTGTGCCGAACTGTCTTTGCTGGTATTCACCAAAATTGGCCTCTCTTTATTAGGCTTCTTCCAAGGTTTCTGAATTCTGCTGTTTAACCTCTAGTTTCTTGCTAGTTTGCCTGCCCATTGGTTCTTGCAGCTCTTTTCTTTGCTGGCTTGGGAGTTACCAACTGCGTTTCCATACAAAGATGGTCTAGATTTCTGCACGAGTACAAAAGGAAAATGCAAAAGGGGAAAATGATTCCTCCTGTCAAAGACAAAAATAATTTTGTAGTCTGCTACTAAAATATTTCCATTTGGGATATACTTCTTGTGGAGCTATAAAGTCAAAACATAAAAGATTTGCATCTAAAATCAAAACACWGCCAACCCGATCACTTTGCTTTTGCCACCTGGAAATTAGCACAGGCCTCTCTTCCTCCATATCTCTCTGGTGTTGCAGTCAACCCTGCCTGTGCACAAAGGGCTCAAGAAAAAACAAGTTACCATATGTCATTAATTGTAAAGGAAGCTCCTGCTTGTTCTTTCAACCGTTAGATTTGCAATTCTGCACAATTGCTAAATTATACTGGCATCCCATATCTGACCTGCGAAAGTAGCTGGGGGAGAGCAGTTGGAAGTGCCAAGGGGCACGTGCTTTTCTTCATTCATACTTGAGTCAATTTGTATTATATATGATCTTGTAGTTGTGGAAGAGCCAGCTTGCAGTATGAGGAAATACAAGGCAACGTTTGGTCCATCAAACTCCTCCAGAAGTTTCTTTTTAGAATTTCAAAGCAGCCTGAGATAGCTCTTAAGTAGCGGATATGACTTTTGAGAAGGACAACGTGCTTTCTGTCACCTTTGAAACGTAAAAAATCACCTTTGAAACGTAAAAAGTGTCACTTGATAAATGTGACTTGTAGCACTTCAGGCTATTAACCCTGAACAGGCACTAGGTTTGAACAGAAGTTCATAGAGAGAAGTTCTGCAAACACACGGTGAAGTTTGGAAGTAGTTGCATTAGGTCTTGCTGTTAAAACACTAACCTAAGGACTTCTTTTTTGTACAAGACAGTAATATCTTGGCAAGTAATTTCATTTGGGTGCCTATTGCATTCAGATCAGAAAAAGATAAGAGGATGATACATGGCAGCAAATAACTAATTATAAACGTTGTTGGCAAGCTGAGCATAAATAGTTACAACAAGCTGTAGAAATTCAAATTATTTTTGAACACTACAATGGAAACTGAAAGCAGAACTGAGCTTGCAAAGAGGCATGTGTAATCCTGCAAGTTTCCAGTACACGTTTAGTTGCTTCCAGACAGGCAGTTCTGTGTCCTGGGGACTGTAAATAATGCACTATAATTGCAAATTTTTAAGATCATTTAACTATTTACAGGACCCGACTACTGAATTTTAGAGCCCTGTTGGAAAAAAAAAGATCCTTTCCGCTTTCTTACTAACAAAACTAGACTAATTGATCAAGTCTTACTTAGTTTTTTCTCCAACCACAATGTAAAGCAGCTGCTCCTGGGAGGGCTCTTCACGCAAACAGCACTTAGGAGCATTTTGGCATCTCTTCCGAAGAAATTATTTTGGGCAAGTTGARTTTTCGCACTTCTAGCTCGTGACTCACTGGAGCTTCAAGGCAGAGGGCTGTTCTAGCAGCAGAAGTTGCCCTGGAGCTGGAGCCCTGCTCTGGTGCCCGTGTCCCTGCTGATGGCACCGACTCCTTCCCGAGGCTGCGCCGGGTTTCTCGGGGTCCTAAACCCAGCGCAGCTCGCGCTGCATTAACAGCTCTCACAGGTTCTCCCTCGCACGTGGCAGCGGTTGGCTTCCACGCCGATTTTCACACCACGCGGTCTTGTTGCCGAAGTTCAGGCCCTGTCACTACTTTGCCCTCGGAACCCTGTTTTCTTACACCACTCCAAACATTGGGATAGAAAGCGCAAACAAACAAACAAACCAAGTTCCCTTTTTCCTATAATGTGAAAAGAGTGCTTAAGCCTACATGGTCTCCTTAAGATTCCTTTAGTTTAAAAGGAAAGATGAACTTCTTGTCAAGGAAACGTGCTCAGGGTAAATAGACTTAGGCTATCGGGCGGACGCGAGTCTTTCCACCACTCTTCTGGAATAACGGGAAACGGAAGAAGTGCAGATTTTTCATGTAAAATAGTAAGTGACAGCGAACTCACTGTAAAATCTCCCAGATGTGGTTATTCTTTACCTTGTGTCTTCTATTGTAAAATTAACTTGGACAGTTACAACTTTGTGTGAAAAAAAAAAAAAGAAAAAAAGGCAAAAAATAACTCAAAATGTGTGAAACTGCATAATGCTGTATGCTAATCTACACTATGTAATGCTACCTTGTATGTTGGATTTGTTAATGCACATTGAGCGTGCAAATAAAAATTAAATCACTTTAAATAGCTGCTGCCTGTGCCCTGTTTGCCTTTAGGCAACACAGAATATGCGACTATACCGAATACTTTTTTTTTTAAGGAATTTTTTTTTTTTTTTTAATAAAAACCTGCGCGTTTCTGTTGTGACTTAATATACCAAAAAGGGGCACACAAGTCTCAAAGAAGTAAACAGCCACAACAAAATCTAGGCAGTTAAAATACACTCTACTACTACTCTTTTATCATGCTTTAAAAGGCCCTAGAATCCACAGAGCCTTGTAAGCAGCTGAAACGCAGCCTGAGCGGCTATTTACTGGCTGGCTGCAGCTGAATGCAAGTCAGACAAAGATGACATTAGACTGGCAGGAAAAGCAGCAATGGGAAGAATTTGCAGTTGCAGGACTGCCTCTCGCTGAAGGGCTACGCTCCATGACATTTGGGATTTAAAAGCATTCCTGGAGGCCAAACTCAACTCTTTTGCAGAGTCTTTAGGAATATTTTGGGGCACCTTGCTCCATGCCCAGTGCGCCAGTCGCTTCCCAAAGCCCAGGGGGCAGCTGCTGCAGCACGCTATTCTGCAGTTCCCTGGCAGCACGGCGCGGAACAAGATTGCCAGGCAAAAAGCCATCGGGCTTTAGAAAATGCCAAATAGCAGAGAACGCGGCGCCGCGTTTCCCCAGCAACACAGACTCCAGCAAGCCCGGGAATTCTGCACCTCCCTCTCTAATGGCTTCCCATGTAACAACAGATTAATTTTCCAAGGTGTTTTAGGTGCCTAAATACCACTGCATGTGAATATGAGGTCTCAAGGAGCCCCAGTCCAAGTGGTAACACAACAAAAAAATACGCAAAAGGAAAAGGAAAAAACAAAATGGGTTTGACAACCCACAGAGAGAGAAGGGGTTTTAAAAAGAGTGTGGAAGTTCAGCGCTCTCCTCCTGCCTGCTCTGGGTATGGATACTGATTCCATGCGAGTCGAAAGGAATTTTGTCATCTTCAGCGGCACAATTAGGCTCGTCCTCCTCTGACAGCTTCTATCCCACCTAATTCAACATAGCAGCAAGACTCCTGTTTCCATGGTAATGTGATTTATTCCTTCATCGCAGACTCCCTGGGTCAGGGCTCTTTTGGCATTTCCCTTGAAACAGCAGAGTCAGCGACAGCTCCATCACCTTTCTGAACCCTAAATGTGCTAAAAACGACTTAAAAGAGGAAAAACATGCTGGCAAATGTGTACCTGTGAAGGAGCTCACATTTTAGAAGGCTCTTAATTGCCAGCTCCGAATCGTGAGAGTCGCTCAAAGAGCCACTCCGCTGTTTTGAGACAAATCAAGGGGATCAATGGTCATACTGTTCTTGCTGCCAAAATTTAAAAATGCTACTCTAACAACTATTTAAATTAGTCTCTCAGCACTTGCAATGCCATGAAAGTCCAGAGAAAGGCCTGGAAAATAAGGAGGACGAGGGGCAGCAGGAAAGCAAGCGTTCCTCAAGTTTTAGTTCTCAGCAAATTTAGAACTTGCTCCATTTCTGATGGTTTATCCATTCTTCAAACTCAGAGCTATTTCTTTAGCATACACAAGGACGAACACTCGGACAAAAAGAGCTCTCCTTCGTTGTAGGTCAATCACTTCCTTAGTGATTCTTCCTCTGGGTTTATTCAGATCCACATAAGAGCACTACCGTTAAAACACAGGCACTCTCGGGCTCTCTCTTTTTTATACTGTTTTATTTTGGGCATTTCTAAGGTTTCCCTCTTCATATGGCACTCAGGTTACACCTATGACTTATGCTGAGTATTAGCCAAAAAGCATTTGTGGAATTTAAGCTTTTCGCTGAACTAATGCTGGTTACTCCTTCCCCATGGGCCCTCTAGTGGCTGAGCCCAGCAAGCTGAAGTCGCACGTGGKTTTTTTGTGCATCTGCTGCGATTTTACTGCGCAGCCTCCCTGCAAGAAATGATCTCAGCCACCGCTCGCCCAGCAAAACGTTCCAGTTTCGCTCGCCGGCTGGGACAAAGCGCCACCCCGAACCCAGCTGCCTGGCACCAGAGGGAAAGCAAGCAAGCCTGGCCTCAAATCCTGCATGCTGACCTGCAGTTAAGCTTTGTACGGGCATCAAAGAGACTGGAGACGGCAGGGGACAGAAAAGGAGGAATTCAGGCATGTCAACAAGGTGCCCACAGCCCAAATAAATGACTTAACGAGCCATTCTGAGAAGTGTTTTCCAAAAAAAACCATGCAAACGTACCGGGAAGCGTCTTCCTTCGGTGCTCTCAGGCTGAAAGGCTTCCTAGCCCTACCCCTCGTGCTACGCACCAAGGATTAAAACACCAAATGCAGAGAGTTGTATTAAAAACTCTATATTGTTGTCAAATAAAACAATAATTCTGCATACAAATTTATATATGACAAAAATAAAACTCTTCTTCAATAACACTGTGTAAAAAAAGTGCTTGCTGCTCTTCTAAGAATTCTGTAAGCAACAGGCTCACAAAGGGCATCAGTAAACACTTAACTGCATTGGAGGAATAATGTAAGGCACAGATACCAGTTATTTAAAGGTGAAAATAAATATTAGTCCCATACAGCTTCCTCTGCTGCTGGCAAGTTACCTTCCCATTACCCGAATACTTCAAACGCAGGCAATTCACTAAAATAATATGTTAAAATAACCTATAAAGGAAAAGCACAAGAAAAAAGTTACCATAATCTGGTCTCTGTTTAACATTTCCAGAAAGCTGAAGTGTTTTTTGTAATGACCTAACCAGCCACTGCTTTTAGAGCAGTGTATTACTTGTTGTCCCTTCTTTTTGCTCAAGATTTTTTARTTTTTCTAGGATTTCTAAGAGTAATAGACAGCACTTAAACAATGAATGGAAAYTCGCTTTCAGTTCTAAATGAGCAACTACAGGACAGATGTGCACAGCTGCTCACAGTTACTTYTGAAAAAGACCTTCTGTTGCACAAACATTCCCAATTATTCTTCGCCTCTTTTTCGACGTGAAATTATCACTAGTGCGGCACAACACTGGAGCTTTGGAAGTGAGAAACAGAAACGAATTTAAACATTTACTTCAGGTACAAGTGTACATAAAAGAATATACCCCCCCCTCCAAATGTCCTTATAAAAATGCTTTTAATCCTACATAAAGAAAATATCCTTAGAAGCACCAGGCTTAGGATTTCCAGTGGCATCCTAAGTCCTATAGAGTTTAAGCAAGGAAGCCTAATGTTTTATACCTTTATACCTCCTTGCTGCCCYTACTCAATCTGTGAATTGGAGCTTCATTCTGATCTCCGACTGCATTATCACACGCAGCCCGCTCAGGCTGCCATTAGATTTCATTTCTGATCAACGAGATTAGCATAATCACTGACACGGATGATCAACGAATGACATAAGCTACATTACACTTAAGAGTGAGTTAAGCTCTTTTGTTCTTAAACTAAAAGACTGCAGGCACTTCGTTTTGGTCGTTTTAACCATGGCCGAGTTGCCTGGGATTCTGGGTGTCAATAAAAAACAAAATCAAAAGCACCTCTCTGGCAGGTGGCATTCTGCATCTGGAGCCCAGCTCTGGATTTAAGTTCTAGGGCTGATGGATCGTTTCAAAGCAGAAAGGATCTTCTGTCTCAAAAACGCTTTTTTAACTAAGCCATTATTCACTGAGCRTGAAGAAAAATCCCTCTGTGCTCTGACTGAACTGCATAATACGTGGGTCAGAGATGTGAGTATCTGTCAGGACTGTCTTCAGCTCTACTCTTACAACTGGAAGAATCTTACAGGAATTCTAAGTATCAGCCCTGGGGCCAAATAACTGCAATACTCAGTTTCAGTCATCTTCTTTACAAGGAGTTATCAGACTAATCTGAAATGACTATATTAGAGATTCCCACATCCCAACAATACTGGCTCCTTTAAGGAAATAAGCTAAAATTCAATGTAAATAAATATCCACTGCGTTATTACAGCTCTGTTTTTAAGAAGCAAGGCAGAAAATCCAAAGCTGTGGTTTCTAGAGCGTCTACAGCGACATTATATCACGCATGCTACGGCAACACAAGGAATGTTATATATAGCAGGAAAACACTACATATTCATGCAGTGTTGCCAAGCTATAGCTGCCATAGGAACCAGAACTTACTGGTTTCTGACTTGTTTAGAAGCCCAACTCCATCACTGCATCAACRGTGACACTGCACGTTACTTACTTGTTTTTTTGAACAAATTCTGTTCAATGAGAACTCAAGAATTCTACACTGACATCTAACCTAGGTCCTTAGGACACACACTTTGTAAGCTACTTTTCTTGCAGTGTGGGTTACTGTTCCATAAAACAGCGAAATTTTGTTGCAAATTTTGTTGCAAATTTTGTTGCAAACAACTAGGGAAAGAAAAAAAAGATCCAAAATGAAGGAAATACCATTTTAAACAGAAGTAATTGGTAGATATTAAACCCTCCTTGGTAGAAGTCCCAACAGACAGAAAATATCCTTGTCAAAATGCTGTCCCTAAACCGCTTTGGTTACAAATGGCTTTTCACAGATTTTGTTTCATTCTGTGGAAGAACCCCCTCCGCTCAAGTGACTGAATCCTTCTTCCTTCTGAATGGCGACTTCAGTCTTYTCCACATGCTACTTTTGGGCTTGGATTTTTTTTCCATGGCCATTACGGCTTCTTTCTCTTTCCTGCGGATTTCTCGCACAAGAGCATGAAATACATCATCGATATAGTAGCGGTACGCAGCTGAAGTTTCAAAAAAAGGACAGTTGAATTCTCGTGCTAAAGCAGAGCCTTCTTCTTTAGAGACCTTTAAAAAAAATAAAAAATAAAAAAAAAACACGTTTGTACTTTTTCTTTTGGCTTTGTTGACAAGAAGTTTGTTKCTTTACCTTTTCTTGTCCTGCTCAAACCATAATTGTGCGTGCAGCCTCCTCTTTCCAGAACGACTCATTTCCACTGATCTCTACATCTTTCCCTATAAATCCCTTCTGCTTTTTCCTTCACTTGTCACTTCTCTAGAAACACGACTATCTATAAGAGATTGTCTAAACAGAGCTGCTGTGGTTATTTATGAAACAACACCCCTTCAAAGAATACTACTTCCTTGAAGCTTAATTTAGGGATTGCCTAATTTTAGGCCTCCTGCCGTAACTACTGTARTTTTCCTCCTGCTACCACACCGAAAATTCATCTAATTCCAGGCATAAGAACACAACCTCTGAAACTTTTTTTCCAAATGACTTTTCCTTCCAGTGAAGCTCTGCTTCAAACTGCATTTGCTCTCAAGGCAGCAGTTACTGTTTCTTTACCAACTTGACAAACACATTTATTAAGTTTACTACATAGCAAACACATAAAATTAAGAAGGAGAAAAGCACTTCTTTTCTGAGGGTGTCTTTGTGCCTTTTACCTGCCGCAGTTGGGTCAGATCCGATTTATTTCCCACTAGGACCACCGGAGTGTCGTCAGTGCGGCGAACACGATAAATAAGCTGCTTGAACTCCCGCACTTCATGGAAACTGCGTCGATCTGTGATCGAGTAACAGATGATAAAACCCTCGCCAGCCCTCATGTACTGGTCTCGCATGGCTGTAAACTCTGCCTAAAAACAAACAACTACGTTTTAAATGCACCAAAACACCAGCATGTTACTGTTGCAGGATCTCTGTTTCTCCGCATGAGCACGATGTGTTTCTAAAGCCTCCCAATTCACTTGTTAGTCACATACCTGTCCTGCAGTGTCCAAGATATCCAGATTTGCAGGTTCATCATCAATGCGGATTCGTATTTTATAAGCGTCCTCTGTGAACACAGGGCACACAAGGAAGATCAAAGCAGGAACACAACCACATTAYACTGTAGTCACGAATACAGGAAAAGACCGCTGCACAAAAAGCACCTTGCCTGGCAATAGTACCGTGCTAAATTAGCCTGATCTTCAATTACAACRAATTTAAATATAATTGCATGTGTATGGTTTGGCATCCAACTCAACTGCTCGCTAAAGTTRTTGCATGGGCTATTTCTGTCCAACAAGTGAAAACATCAATTCAATCCTGCAACCTTTGTGGAAAGCACAAGGTGGGAGCATTAGGTTTTTCCTGAGCCAGAAACCCCACCAGATGCAAGGAAGAAGTTCTAAGGGCCACCACCAACTGCTAATTTCTTAAGGCTACTTTCTGTCCCTTTAAACCAATCCTCACACCAAGACACGGCACTTCTCAACAGGAAGGCAGCAATTTTCCCAGCTTTTCCTTTGAAAGAGTCACTGTCTGTTAAGGATTCTTTGGAGCTACCGAAGAAAGAAGTCCCAGAGGATACTCAGCAACATCACAAGCAGCTAAGGATTTGCACCCCTTCCAAGTTAACTGCAAGTTTCTCAAACAACAGAGCGTGTTTAGGCCTGACAAAGGTAAGGAATAGCAGAGAATTGACTGATATTATGGAAAGTTAATTTTTGGAGATAATGCATACTGTAAATAAAATGCATTTTAACAAGATAACGGATGGGGAAAAAAGAGCTAGAAGTCAGGTTATTTCTCTCAGTCCTCACGTAGCCTCAGAGCTACTAATGGTTTAATTAGTAATCAGAGGTATCTGGAGCCCTCAGTTTACRAATAGACTTACGACTTTCTTTAAAATTAAGCTGTTTAAAGTACGAGGTGCTGCGAGAGCTTGAAGAACGAGGAAAGGGAGGGCACGGGGAAGGGCAAGGAGGGCCCGTTCTCACCGATGGTGGGGTCGTGGTCCTCGGGGAAGCGGTGGCTGATGAACTGCATGGTCATGGCTGGGGAGAGAAGGGGCAGGCGCTCAGCGCGGCGCCCTGCTGGGCTAACAGCGAGAGCAGCGAGCGGAGGAAAAGCGCCGAGGAGGCGGCGAGAAGGAGAAGGAAGCGGCCCCCGCGCTAACGGCCGCCCCCCCCCGCGCTAACGGCCGCCCCCCCGCGCACGCACCGCTCTTGCCGACGCCGCCGGCGCCCAGCATCACCAGCTTGTACTCGCGGGACTGCCCCGGGCCGCCGCCGCCCGGCCGCGCTCCGCCGTCCATCGCCTCAGCGCCCACGGAAGCGGCCGCCGCTCGCGAGAAGAAAAGAGCGGGAGCGGCGGCGGCCGCTGCCGCCCCCCGCTCGGCTCCGCGCCGCCCCGCCGGCACGCGCCGCCTCGCCGCGGCGGGGCCCTCAGGCGGGGCCCCCGGGCGGGGCCCCTCAGGCGGCTCCGCGCCGCATCGGCCCGGCCGCCCGCGCGCGCAGGGACGGCGCCAGGACGGGAAGCGGCGTCGGGAACGGAGCCGCCGCCGCTTCGGCCCTGCTCGGAGCCGAGGCGGCGGAACCAAAATGGCGGCGGCTCCTGCCCCGCCCTCGCCCCGGGCCCCGCCCTCGCCCCGGGCCCCGCCCTCGCCCCGGGCCCCGCCCTCGCCCCGGGCCCCGCCCTCGCCCCGGGCCCCGCCCTCGCCCCGGGCCCCGCCCTCGCCCCGGGCCCCGCCCTCGCCCCGGAGACGTGGCAGCAACTCGGTTTTTTATTTAAAAAACATCGTCTAGAGCTATCTTTGCCATTACCGATAGACTCGAAGAGCAACAATAATAATAAATAAGTCAGTAGCAGAATCTTTATACATTTATTTATAATGAAATTACGGCTCTAAATTATTTACAAGATGTAGGAAAGTCAGGGTATTTATACAAGCGAGCCGCCAAGGGCTTCCCGCGCGCGGCAAGGACACACGCCTCCTCCACTCCTGCTACCGCTCCCATTTTAAGTGCTGACCAGCGCCTCGTCACAGCCACGTGCGCCAGGGGATTTRCACTCCTTGTCCTCCCCCCCTAGCCTCCCAAAAAAAACCAAAATAACCCCAARATTAACCCCAAGAGAGAGTCCTGCAAGAGCCTGCGCTGCCAGGTGGGGATGCGGTGTCCACGAGCAATCCAAGGCCTTAACTCAGAGCTGCTGCTTTTGTGCTCCGGTGCGGCACCACCACTCCGAGGTCTCTCATTTTTGTTAAACCATCATGAAGCAAAAGGTTTAGGATCAAAGGGAGCTGCTCAGGGAGGCGGAGAGACTCTCGGGAGAACCTCCTGGGAAGTCCTGCCCTTCACGCGGCCGAAGGGAAGGAAATACACGGGGAGAATGAGACGACCGAGTACCCAGGCTAAAAGGACCAAGTTCATTGCAGAGTTATGGGCAAGATGAAGAAAAAGAATGCATTTTTCCCCATCAAGACACTGAGCTAAAACCAGGAGTTAAGGAGTTAGTACAAAAAAAAAAAATCCACATTTTTAGAGGGAAAAAATGCTGGATTACAGGAGACAAAATAAAAACAAATTAGGAGTTTTAGAAAGCGCAATCCCCCAATTTTTCAGAATTACTGAGCAATCCCTTTCTTTGTCAAAAGTCCAAACATTGAATCCTTGATCACCATTAGCTCAGTGGGACTGCAGAAACACAGGGAAGTCAGCTTTGACAGCTCTTTCCATTTAAGTTATCCTGGAAAGATGGGAAGCATGGGGAAAGACGGGCTTCCTAGTTTCTCTTTATAATACTTCCCCTGTTTTATAAGGGCCCTCCCATTCCAAACTCTTTATTTCAAGTATTTCGCATAGTTTACAAATCCACTGCAGAAATAAGGATTTTAAAAATAATGGAGCCCTTTCAAGAGGGAATATTGAAGCTTTAGCTTCTGCAAATGTAGAAATAATGCATACTTGCAAAGTTCACTGTGTAATATACATGCATTATTGCTAGAGGGGGAAAAAAATAACAAAAAAAGACATATGAAAATTGTTCTGTAGCCTTTATGGTGCCATCCAAAACGGCATCTGTTGTTTAGCTCGCTGTTGTGAGGAAGGGTACTGGTATCCCAAGCTCCATCCCTGTGAAAAAGTACTTGCATTTTTATGGCCACCATGTTCCTCCTCTTCATCTGACGAATCTCCTGCATATGCCACCAATCCAAACCCCTTTTCTGCAGTTTTCATCTTCTTAGCTTGATGATCTAAAAGGGGAAGACAAACAACCCACCCAAACCCGAAGAAAAAAAGGGGGAAAAAAAAAGAGATAAAATTTCCCCAAACAAGTTAATTCAAAAAAAATGTTAATTGTAAATCGTTAGTTGGACACCATTTTGAGGTCACAAGGCCAATGGTCATTCAAGGTCGAAGGCCACAAGAAACAGCACCAGCAACAGCACATGTGATCCATCAGAACCATGTAAGAGAACAGAGAAAGAAGAAAGAAACACACAAAAAAAGGTGAAGTTAGCAAATGGGTCTAAATAGTGGCAATTTCACCGCTAAAAAGATAAAAATGTAAGAAAAGTAGAAATTTCGTTCAAAAGAAATCTAAAGAACAGCAATCTCTGGGACCAATACTGCAGAAAAACTAAGGTTAAACACACTTATATGATGTGCCTGTAGACCTGGCATGAAAGCACTATTCCACTACCAGGAAATCTAGTGAGCACATTTTTCCAAGTCACAAATAATTGATGTAGGAAAACCCTCTGAAAGGATGTGATCTAGTAACACGTCTGTTGTTCGCAGACAAGGTGGGCATATTCTTGTCTGTAAATGCACACCTGAACCCCAYCAATACCCTCAGTGCCACTAGAGATGTAAAGCCACCTGATACCTGTGGTACAAATCAATCCCATTAGATTCTGTACCTCAGCTAGGACAAGAGTCCCAGCCTTTGTTCTTTGACTTTATCGCCTCCTCCTCATTCCTAAAAACACTTAAAGTTTTAAGAGAAGTACCATGTGTGTACAGTCACAATGAACTTAAACAATTTTTAGAGCAGTGGAATATGACCTCCCTTTCACTTAAGAGGGCACTGTAAAGGAAAAAAAATCACCAATTTGTTTAAATCCATGTAAAGATCAGGGCAGACTTGTCACGTTCACTTTTCTATATAGGTTTATTCTATTCACYGCACTTACCATGGTTGCCTAGTAAGGACCCCGCACCATTTCTTTCTTCAGATTCTGATTTCATCCCAGAGACAGGAAAAGCTGGTGGAGGCATCAACTGCCTGTTTAAATTAATGCAAGTACTTATTATTTTTTAAAATAASCAGAGAGTCAGAAGTAGTTCAGTCAAATGGAGTATTCTCAAGCTTCACTGCTTTTCAGCACAAAGRAAAACAACAACTCAGTCCCCAAGCAGCATGATTTAACTTTGAAATGCTCTCATTGCACTTAGTTGAGGAGATAAATTAATTTAGGAAACATATCACTGGTTCTCTAGCTGATTTTCCTCGTTATTGTCAGGTACTGTAAAACCACAGCWGCTTTTTGAAAACTCCCCAAATGAGTACTAACACAGGTTTCATATTTCACCCTATTTCTCATCTTTTAAGACAAGCTTTTCCTACAGAATCAAATATGGGATCCTAATTCTTTCATCGCTTACCTGTCCCTCTCTCTCTCCTTTCCTGAGGAACTTGCTGGCTTCGATCCTGTTCCATCGATTTCACTCTGACTGGAGAAGCCTGTACCTAAATTAGTCATATGAATGGGTCCATGCTATGAGCAGAAAAACACACGGCATTAGCAAATCTACAACTACAACATAAGCTACAGCTCCTTAACGATAACGATAGGAAACCCAACTTTTCAGAGCATATCGCCAACTACTGAACAAATTAAGTAGTTACTCTTTTTCACTGTTTGTACAGTCACCAAAAAAACTTAGGCTGGCTATTAAAGATAGGAAAGCATCTACTGATTGCCAGCCTTAAACAAAATGCTTTATATCCTACAAGTACTGCAGAGGCTAATGTGCTCAGGCACAGTTCCAGCTAAGATGGAAGAGCCCTCATCATCTAATCCATCTTCCCAGCAGGACAGCTAGCCGCTTAGTTCAGGGACTGATTTACTACCTTCTAATTAAGCTAATTTGGTATGGTATGTAGACCTTATGACATAAGCTCTGCTGAGACACTAGTATTACATCTTAAATATAGGCAGCTACTTGTTTTCCCTAGACGTTTTTTGTAAAGGGTTTCTGCTTAGGGGCTTAAAGCCTGTTAGATAAAATTCCAGATAGACAATTTAGAAGGACAAAGTGAGGAGTATGGTGGGGGCACAAGGAAAGGGGAGCTAGCAGAGGAAAAAAAAAAAAAGGAAAAAAGAGGGAGGTGTGTGAGGGGAAATCACCAAAAGAGCATTTGCAGAAACTCCCTTTTGCTCGTATACAAAAACTCTATATTATTTAAAAAATAGCCAAGTATTTTTTTTTTTTTTTATTTTCTATCTAAAGTTTATCAGGAATCACCACATTCATTTCCCCTGCCCCCACATACCCACTAAAAAGACCCACAAACCAACCAACACCACCACCTCCACTAGCCTCCCCCTAAACTAACCATTGACACCCTATTGTCATCTCTGGTCTGAAGAGACTGCTAATCTTCATGAAAACAACAAAATGCAGGTAGAGAAGGCAGGCAGCCATTGCATCAAATAAGGCACAGTCTAGAACAGTGCATCCACTCAAACTGGAGCAGGATATCGCCAGGCTTTTTAGCAATTACTGCCACCTGCCAAAGATCTTGYATGTCTGTTTAAAATAAACTGATGGCCTCTCTCTAGCAAAGTTCCATTTTGATGTCAGAAGTAAAATTGCTGATTTTATTCCACCTGATATCCCAGCAGTCCCGACTCTCTCTCATCTGGTAGCTCCTCAGTGAACCGCCTCTTTTGGCCTTGGGAATGGGGTTGCACTTGCGGCTGTGTTCCAGCAGGCAGGGATGTTTTTACTGGGGCAGCGGGAAGAAAAGGACCACTCAGTGGACTCTGGCAGGCAGAAGTTCAAAAGAAGAAAAAAGGAGTATAAATTCAAGGTACAGATTTGTATGTAGGATCAGAATACACACTGAGCCTATAGAGTGCTCCCACCTCAAAGCAGTCACAGTAATTCAAGCTCACTGTCTCTACACCGCAGCAGTAAGACTTTTCATATGCAAGTGATTTCACCTCAAATATCCTTTATACTAGTAGGCAGCTATCAGGAAAAAAAGAGCATTAAGAAGTAGCTGCTACAGCGGTTTAGTTTCTTCAATAAGAAAAGCATGAGCAAAGTAATAACCACGGAAAATATTTATGCATGTCCCCCTACTCTTAAATTCCTGACCTATAAGAGCTTTAATTAACTGCTAGCAAAGAAACAGCTTAGGAAGTTGATAACTACAGAGCCAAGGAATTMATCAGTGGCACTACCTGGCCAGTGCTGGCTGGAGGCTGTACTTGAGATATCGGATATTGTGTTGGCACAGGTGGAACTCCTGTAGGCAACGTTGTTAGGACTCCAGGTGCCAACGGTACTGCAGGTGGTACCATGCCCGGYACCCCGTACGGCGGCTGGACTGGTTGTTGTTGTGGAGGGGGAACGACAGGATAACCAGACTGATACCCATTTGAAGGGTAATACGACGGCTGAGAAGGTACACTGCTTATAGCAGCAGGTTGTGCAAAGCCTGGGAGGCAGGAAGGGGGAGAAGGCAGGGGGTTACCTTCAGTTTGGGTCACAACAATATTACATTTATTACCAAATGGAAAGAAAAAAAAAAGTTGGCATCCTTTTCAATTAAAGTCAAAATTGTAACAGGCAGAACGCAACTCTAAAGACTGTTATTGCTAAACATTTACCTGCCAACGGGACTGCAGTGGTTATTTGATTCACAAATCGAGAGTATTCGGCGTGGACCTAAATAGGACAGTCAAGATACAGAAATAAGCATCTATTCAGTACATGAAGCTTTTGCAGGCAAAGGGCTTCTTATTGTGTGTTACCATAAAATCGATCATAAAAGAGGGCTTTGACTACAGAATATGCTACACCCAAAGACACCGTAATACACTAAACAAGAACATGGAAMAAAAAACTCAGAATATAGTCACTAGTCTTCTTATCTGTGACGTATTTGTATAAAATACARTACAGCAGGGTACTTAACGCAGAGGACGTTTTATCATGGGAAAGAAYAGAACAGTAAAAGAATGACTTGAGTAGAGACAAAATGCTCAAAACCACAAAGCATCTAAAAAGCTCTGAGATATTTTCCAGAGAGATGATGTAGCCTGTGCCAAGGCTAACAGACTCAATCTCACAGGATTTTACTATATTTTGTGGTARGCCATTCACACAACAGAAGTTGAGAAATTAATTCTTCAGCTGGGTAAGAGATTTTATAAGAATTCTGTGCCAAGTAAAACAATCTCCTCGGGGAAAAATAAAAGAGGCCATGAAGCTGAACAATGTTTAAAGCTAAAAGCAAGAGACATGAGGGAATCAACTAATTCATGTGAGCAGAAAAATAAAAAGCCTGGGACATACGAGATTTCAGAGCCTGTCTTATCATTAGTATTTGTACAAGTCCAACACAGCAGAGCTACTCACAGTTTGTAAGAGATTCTCACATAGCTTTTTAGCAGCTGCCAGACCTTCTGGCTTCGGGTGACTGAAGATACATAGAAAAAACCCCATTCAGAAGCATGAACGTTTTCACAAATTTTCAGAGCTATTTTGTTTAACAGTAGCCTGTCAAGATCTCATCCCTAGTCATCTCAAGAGTAGTCTAGTGCCGCTGCAGCTTTTAGCATAACTAAAAGCAACTGAAGAGTATTTTACTAAATAAAAACTCAGAATAGCCCAAGTCTTGCAAGAAACATGCACAGAACTGTGACTTGGTTGGTCAATGCCATCAGTATTTTTCTCCTAAAGCTCAAATTTACTACATGTCCAAGGAGAATGCAGCTTTACTTTTCCCCAAAAAGCAGTGTGCTGTGATTAGATGGTGAGCATGACCCCTTCCTATCTTCATCACTTTAAAGTTCTCTGCTAAAAGGAAAATTTCCAAGTCTCTCATACCTGATATAGATGTACATGGGTTCAAAAGCTTCTCTGCCTGATGCTGGTTCTATGCAACCTGAGCCTTTCCCCCGAAGAAACACTTTGGCACCCGTCTCAATCTGAATGTGCTGCAAGTAGGAGCAACCAGGCCCTTCCACCTTTTCTTTCACATTAAACGTAGGTAGAGCATGTTCCAGACCAACAAACAATTTGTCCTGAACATAATGCATCTGTAAAAGTTCCAGCGAGAGATTGTTATTTCACTCCTAGAATCAGGATTCTCATTGCACCAGAGACTAACTTATTTCTCTAGCAATCAGAACAATTCATGTCGGATGGTGCAGTCAGTCCTGTACTTCTCTGCAAGCAGGACGGCTCTCTCCAATCCTTTCTTTTTAGGAGGACAGTATTAATCGAGTCTCACTCTTCAGACCCCATCTTATCAGTCCTCCAGTTTTCATTAACACACATGCAAGTTTTTCTGCACAAAACCAGCACATTTTCAGACTTATCTATGGCAAAGTGTGCCTGCAATTAGTGATAGCGAAAGTCTGCAAAAAATTACTCACCCCTGACTGAAACGGAGGTTTTTGGCCAACTGCTGGGGAGAGTTGAGCAATGGGGGCTGGCTGGTGATAGACAGTAACTGTAGCCCCGTTGAACGTTGGGCTAGAGCCCGTGGCAGCTTTCACCACGCCATTAGTGATGATCTCCTTAATTCTGTTAACAGCTCCTAGTTGACAGCACACAAACTCCATTTATGTTTCAAAGAAATACAGTTGTTAAAAATCTTCACATTCTTCATAAAGAGTTCACTGATTACTCCCCCAGTGYCCCTCAAAAAAAAAAAACAGCCAAAATTTCTACTACAGAAAACATATAAATTTCACTGCGTAAATATGCAAATTTCCAGGTGCCCAATTATGGGGAAAAAAAGTTGTTTTTCAATCTGATTGTCTGGAAAATTACTAATGCTTCCAACCTCCTACCCTATCCCACACATCAAGGCAAGTTAATTTTCAAAGCAATGCTAGTGAGAAGAACACGTTCATGGCTCAAACAGAGGGCTGAAGCAAGAAAGCAAGCAATTATTACACACAGTTCAGATGCCAGCCAACCAGATCCTACAAAATTCTCTATTTTTAGTAGATCACTACAGGGAACCCCCTCCCCAAGAAAACTTACGGTCAACCAGCTCCCGTGTCTGACCCTGGACATGCAGATACAGAGGGCGATCTCTAGGAGGGAAACCCCAAATAATTCGTTAAATGCACAGAGAATGTGCAGTCATGGATTCAATACAGTACCCTATTAAAATAAAGTAAAATAAAATAAAATTTACAAACCCAGGTCCCACTTTTGCTTTTTCTTCTGCGGTCATGAATCTCCCTCGAGTTGAGACAGCTGCTCCACTCAGTCGACTTATCTAATTTTTTAAAAATCCAGTGAAAAAAAAAAATTACCAGCAATAMAGGGAGAAAAAAAGAAAGGAAAAAATATAAATAAATGGTTTWAGCTAAGGCCTTATACCAAAAGACTGTAAGTCAATACTAAAGAGATAAGAAAATGAAAGGTGCCCACTAAAAGATACTTTACTTCCTCATACAACATTTATTGGACAAATTAATAAAATCTTAAACTTGAAGGAACTAAAGCAACATTTACAGAAACAGAACGAGTACTTTTAGAGAGAGAGCACAACAGCCCCTGCACACAGTTTATCCCTAGCCCTTCAGTGTACAGATAGAGCATTGACAACCTCCACACGCAGAGCTTGGACCCACCTCGTCCTGCGTCTGCCCTCTCGTCAGCAGGTTCCTGCACGTGAGGGGCACGTCGTTGATCTCCACCTCTGCCACCACAAGGTCGTCTTTGCTTTTACTCGCAGTCGGGCCTTTTCCCAGAGCCTGCAGTTTCAAAAGAGACCGTTGCAAAAGGCTGCTGGCAGAAACCGAGATAAACCAACCCTGGTAGCCCAAAAGGTGAATATCTCTTTTTTACTTTCTTTTGAGCTGCTGAATCCACCCCTCCTACAAACATGAGCAACAAGTGGCTTGACTGCCAGGCTACAGTTGCGCTACCACTTCAAAGCAGGTGCAATTACCAAATAAAAACCTTATTTTCTTAACTAAGTACATTTAAGCAGCACAGCCCCGTACAAGCACAGGCTCCCAGTGCATAGAGCGAGGCTATTTCAGCTGCTGCACCTGGAATGCAACAGCTTTCCCTTAAAATCTCTTGGCTTAGAGATTAACCCCACGCTGCTGATCGCAAGCGCTTCGAGCTCAACAACTATTTGTTTTCAACACTGAAACCAGCAGCTCTGCACAGGGGGATTTGCAGCTGGCAGCAGCGTTTCAAAAACCTTTCTAGGAAATCTATTATCTTACCAAAACTCTGCTTGGCTAAGCCTCCCGACGGTGCAGCAAGGCTGAGCACAACCTGCAGCCCAGTTTTATAGTTTTAACGCTTTCTGATTCATTTCTAATGCTTTCAGAAGCAGACCTCCCGACTGCACTCGCTGAAGTCTAATCAGCGAGGCGAGGAGCAGCTTTGTTCCCCCTGCCTCGCCGAGGGCCAAACGGGGCCACGCACCTTGTCGGCACCGCTGGGCGCCGGCTTCAGCTTCCCCTTGGCCATCAGCATCGCGTTGATCTTCGCCGCCACCGCCGCGGCCGCGTCCAGCGCCCCCGAGGGGGCGGCGGAGCCCTCGGAACCCGCCGCGCCGGAGCCGCCCTCGCCCGGGAAGGGGCGCCCGGGCAGCGGCGCCGCCGCGGTCAGCAGGAAAGGGGGCGGCGGGCCGGGCTGGTCCCACTTGCTGCGGCGCCTGCGTAACGGGAAGGCCTCAGTCCCGGCCGCCGCCCGCCGCCGCTTCCGCCGCCGCTTCCGCCGCCGCTGCCGCCGCCTCCCCGCGGCGCCCGCCCCAGCCCCGCGGCCGCCCCAGCCCCGCGGCCGCCTCACCCGCCGCCCGCGGCCTCGCGCTGCCCCGCGCCGCCCGCCGACATGGCTGCGGCCGCCTCCGCGCAGCGACAACGTCATTTCCGCCGCGGGGAGGGTGGGGAGTCGCAGACCGCCCCTTCCCGGCGTTGCCGGGGTGACGGCACTGAACTGCGGCGCGCAGTGGCGTCACGTCCGTTTCCGGACGGGCTGAGGCACGCCCCTTCCGGCGTTGCTGGGGTGACAGCGCGCGCCGTGGCCGCGGCGCCGCCGGGCTCGGGGTCGCGGGCGCCACCAGGGCTGCGGTCGCAGCCGTGGGGACGCGGCCACCCCCCCGGGGACCCGGCTCTTCCCCCGGCGACACGGCCACCCCCCTGTGCTGAGGCACGCCCCTTCCGGCGTTGCTGGGGTGACAGCGCGCGCCGTGGCCGCGGCGCCGCCGGGCTCGGGGTCGCGGGCGCCACCAGGGCCGCGGTCGCAGCCGTGGGGACGCGGCCACCCCCCCGGGGACCCGGCTCTTCCCCCGGCGACACGGCCACCCCCCTGTAGTGACCGCCCTGGGGACACGATCCCCCCCTCGGGGCCGCGGCCGTGCCCGGACGGCGCCGCGCGTCCTGCCCCGCGGCTCCGCCAGGGGTCGCCCGAGGCCCCCCGGCTGACCCGAGGGCCGCCGTGTCCCCCGGGGGTCCCGAGAGCCGCAGCGGGGGCGCGGGCGCTCGTGCAAGTGGGGGTGCGCAGGGTGTCCCCGCGCGAGTGCACGGGGGTGCGTGGGGTGTCCCCGCGCGAGTGCGCGCCTCTGTGCACGCGCCTCTGCATTCCCGTGCCCGTTTGCCCATGGCAATGGGAATGCGAGCGGTCCCACCCACTCGTGTGCGTGCCCTGCTGCCGCTGCTAATTGGGCTCATCTCATTAGCTGGGATTAATGGCTATCTATAGGCAGCCAGGGAGGGGAGGTGACCCAGGGGGGAGGGGGGACAAGGCCACCACAGGACACGGGGACGTCCCCCCCCCCCGCCCCAGGAGCCCCCAAATCCTCTAAATCCCCCGGCCTAATCCAGGCTGGGGCCCGGGCGGGCGGCCAGGATGCCCGGGCCCCCCTCCCGGGGCGGGGGTGGGGACAGGCCTGGATGCCCGGGCTCCTTCCCGCCCCGCCACGGCTGCCCTCGGGGGGCTGGCGACGGAGTTGGGGGCCCGGATGTCCAGGCCCGTTTTCCTACAAAGGGACGGGGCCGGCTGAGAGAAGGAAGACAAACCAAGTCCCAGCGGGTGCCCCGAGGTGGCACCCGCTGCTCCGGGGGGCTCCCGCTCCACTCCCCGCTCCGTTCGGGAAACCGTTTCCGAATGGGAAATGCCCCCCCGCCGTTCCTGGAGTGGGCAGCGGGATGCAGCCCAGGCGCCCGCGGGGGCCAAGCCGGCGCCCCCTTGGCGACGTCCGCACGGTGCATCCCCGTGGGGCTCCGGGCTGAGTCCCCACAAACTCCTCACACTTGTGACAACCCCAAAGGGCGCAGTGCGGGAGAGCGCGTGTGCCCGGGTAAAGCCCTGCCCAGTGCCCGGTGTCCCGCTCTGTCCCCGCCTCTGTCGCCGCTCGGAGCCCCTCGGGGCCGTTTCCCGGCCCGTTCCGGGGCGGGGCCGCTCGGGGCCGCGGGCGGCGGCGGAGCCGGTACCGGGCGCGGCGGGACGGGACGGGACAGGACGGGGGTGCTGCACGGCGGGAGGGGTGAGGGGGGGGTCCGCTTGTGGGTGTGCGGGTGCGCGCATAGCCGGGCGCCGCCAGTACCGCTGGCACGGCGCGCCGCTGCCCCGGAGCAGCGGGAGCAGCKGGAGCCCCGGGCTGCACCGGGGAGCGGGGCAGGAGCGTCCCGGGCGCGGGGGGCGGGCGGGAGCGGGGAGGGGGCGAGCGGCGTGTGCGGGATGTGCCCCGCTCTCCGCGCTCCGGACCGGCCGTGCTCGCTGTCCCCGCTCTCGGGACCTCTCGGGACGCTCTCGTTCGGACCGGTCGTGCGGGAGGTTCCCTCGTTCAGACCGGCCGTGCTCGTTGTCCCCGTGCTCAGCGCTGCCTCCTGTCCCGTCCCGTTCCGGCTCCTTGTGAGGGGGGTCTCCCCTTGGGGTGCCACTGCCCTCGTGGGTGTCCGACGCTGTGTCCCACAGCCCAGCTGTCACCTCACCCCAGCAACAGCCACAACAGCCGGGAGGGGGGACAGTCCCTGCTTGGGGGTGCACTGGGCACTCTCCCCTTTCTGCCCCTCTGCAGCCTGGTCAAGAGGCTGCACCCGGGCTCACRGTGGCCCCATGTCTCCCTAAGGTGCCCGGTGCCCCAAAGATGCCACCGTCCGTCTTCCTCCCACCACTCCTCCTCGTCCTAGGACTGGGGGGGCCGGGGGGGGCCGCGCTCTCCTTCCCCCAGGATCTGGTGGCCCGCAGCACCGTGGGGCTCGCAGGTGAGTGGGCGGGTGGCCTGGGGGGCGGTGGCAGGGGGTGACAAGAGCCACCCATCGCCACTCCCCCCCCAGGCACCGCCACCTACCCCCGCTTCAGTGGCCTCCGTGGTGACAACGTCACAGCCCAGCTGGGCCTCGGCTTCCAGCGCATGCTGAGCCTCAACGGCACCCTCTTCGTGGCAGCCCGGTGAGCGGGGACGTGCGGCCACTGATGTCCCTCACACGGGCGTGTGGCCACCCCATGTCCCTCGTGTGGGCACACAGCTGGCCAATCCCCTCATAGGGATGCACAGACACCCACTGTCCCTTGCACACCCACAGATCCCTGCACATCCCTGTGCCCCTTGTGTGTCATGGGGTCCCCTTGCCCACCCTYGTGTCCCCATGCGCGGCCCCATGTGCCCATGTGCTGCCTGTGCCCCTTGCGCACCCCTGTGTCCTCTGGCATAGCTTTGTGTCCCCTTGCATACTCTCATGTCCCCTCGCACGTCCTCATGCCCTCTCCAAAGCCCCCATTCCCATTTGCAACCCTCTAGATCCCCTTAATGTGTCCCGATACCCCTCACATGTCCCTGTGCTCCTCGCATGTCCCCATGTCCCCGTGCCCTTGGCATGCTCACGGCCCTTCTCCCCACAGGGACCACGTCTACGCCTTCGACCTGGCGCAGGACGAGCGGACCCTGTACCCTGCACGGGTAGGGGGGTACGGGGGGGATGCTGCCTCGTGAGGACAGAGCCCGGACGCCCGGGCCCCAGGGTGCTGGATGGTACCCAAACTGCCCTCCTGCCCTGCAGCACCTCACCTGGGAGGCACGGGACAGGGAGCACTGCGCCATGCGGGGCAAGCGGCAGGTACGGGGACAGGGACGGCCACTTGGGGACAAGGAGACGGGCCATGGGGGACATAGGACTAGAGGGAGAATGGGGGTGCAGGCTCTATGGGGGTAAGGGGATACAGGGCCATGGGGACATGGGCTATAGGGCCTGGGGACACGGCATACTGGGGCTATGGGGACAGACAGAGGGGGCAGCTGGGGCAGCTGGCATCGCTGTATCCTCATGTCCCTCGTGTCCCCCCCTCTCTCCATGCCCCACCGTGGCTCCCTGTCCCCAACGTGTCCCCGTGCCCATCACACAGGATGAGTGCTACAACTACATCAAGGTGTTGGTGCCGCAGGACGCCCGGACCCTCTTCGCGTGCGGGACGAACGGCTTCAACCCACTGTGCCGCACCTACGAGGTGACACAAGACGGGCGCCTGTGCCCCCTGCCCCTGCCCTGTCTCCCTGTCCCCCCGCCCTGTCACCCTGTCCCCCCACCCTGTCCCTGTCCCGTGGCCGCTGCGGGGGTCCCAGCGCTCGTCCCCGCAGCTGGGCAGCCTGGTGCAGGAAGGCGAGGAGCTGAGCGGCCAGGCCCGCTGCCCCTTCGACGCGCAGCAGAGCAACGTGGCCGTGTTCGCCGGTGGGTGCCCAGGGCGCCGCGGGCGCTGGCAGGGCCACCGGGGCGCTCAGGTGTCCCCATGTCCCCGCTGCAGACGGCAGCCTCTACTCGGCCACCGTGGCCGACTTCCAGGCCAGTGACCCCATCATCTACCGGAGCCCCGGCCCGGGCGGCCCTCCGCTGCGCACCCTCAAGTACAGCTCGCGCTGGCTGCAGGGTAACCGGGGAGGACTGTGCGGGGGGACATGTGGGGACATGTGGGGACATGTGGGGATATGGGGGATGGGGTGGGGGGACAGGTGGGGAGAAGGCGGGAATATGGGGGACAAGGCAGGGAGACACGTGGGGACACTGCGGGAATGTGGGGACAGGGTGGGAGGATGTGGAGGGACAGGGGGACACGTGGGGACAGGGCATGGGGACACGGGGTGATAGCAGCTGATAAGGGGGCAGATGGTGGCATGTGGGGACCGGGCATGGGGATACAGGGAGGTGCAGGGGTGGGGACAAGACACAGGGGTGTCCGGTGACACAGGGGGACACAGGGGTACATAGAGTGGCAGGACACAGGGGCAGGGGATGGCACAGGGGCCCCCAGGGCACAGAGCCCAGGCGGCCCTAGGGCACAGGGGGCGGGGGCTGCCGGAACGCCTGGGCCCCCGGGGCGGGGGCTCACGGGCGGCYGCCCCCAGAGCCCCACTTCGTGCGGGCACTACCCTACGGCCCCTACGTCTACTTCTTCTTCCGGGAGGTCGCCGTGGAGCTCAGCGCCATGGGCAAGGTGGGCGCTCGGCCCCGCGGCACCCTCTGCCCCCCAGCCCAGGGGGGCCCCAGGTGCTGCTGTTGGCGCTTGAGCGCCGGGAGTGTCGGTGGGTGCAGAGCCCCGGGGCTCATGTGTAGCAGGGCCCCACGGTGAGTGCAGGGCCCATGGGTGCCCCTGTCTGTGGGTGCCGGGGGGTGCCCCGTGGGTGCCGGTCCCTGAGCCGTGGCCTGAGCGGGGCCCTGACCCGAGATGCCCAGGGGAGCCAACACTGGGTGCCAGCACCCAAGGGTGCTGATGTCCAAGGGGTGCCCCCGGGCGCCGCCGGCGGGTGCGCGCGGGAGGCGCCGCCGGCGGGTGACGGTGGCGGCGGCACAGGTGGCGGTGGCGCGGGTGGCCCGGGTGTGCCGCAACGACCGCGGGGGCTCGGCGCGGGTGCTCGAGCGCCGCTGGACCTCCTTCCTCAAGGCCCGGCTCAACTGCTCGGTGCCGGGCGACGCCATCTTCTACTTCGACGTGCTGGAGGCCGTGACGCCCCCGCGGCGCCTGCATGGGCGCCCCGCCGTCCTCGCCCTCTTCGGCACCCAGCGCAACAGGCACGGGGYGCACGGGACGCGGACGAACGGGGATGTCGGTGTTGGGGAGATGGGCACGGGGATGTGGTGGACGGGCACTCAGGGACACAGGCATGTGGGCACGCGGTGAYGGGGAGCAGCCATGGGGACGTGGGGGGATCACGGGGTGCAGGACATGGGAGACAAGGCCATGGGCTCACAGGGGAAGGGACAGAGCGAGGACTTGGGCGTGGRGACACAGGCTATGTCCAGGGCTGGGACAAGCAGCTTGGGGACACCGATGCGTGGGGACCCATGGACTCGGGTTCACAAGTGACAGGGGCATGTGGGGACACGGGGGACAGGCAGGTTGGGACATGAGGAGATGGGTCTGGTGGGGACATGGGCACAGGGGGCAAGGCTCAGGGGCACAGCAGGGACAGGGGCACGGGGCCAGGAGCCCAGGGGACACCAAAGGGACATAGCAGGGGACAAGGGCACAAGGAGAGGGAAGAGAGCCCGGGGAAGGGGCTAGGTGGCTGCTGTGGACACCAAGTCGGGGGGGACATGTCGGGGCCAAAGGAGCCGGGGGGCGGCCGCAGCGTCACTGGTGGCGTCCCCTCAGCATCCCCGGCTCGGCCGTGTGCGCCTTCTACCTGGCCGACGTGGAGCGGGCGTTCGAGGGCCGCTTCCAGGAGCCGCGCGGCGCCGACGGCGCCTGGGCTGCCGTCCCCGACGAGCGGGTGCCCCGGCCCAGGTAGCGCCTGGGGGACTGGGGGTGGCGGCGGGGGCTGACGGCGCCACAGGCTGACGGCGCCGCGGCCGCAGGCCAGGCAGCTGTGCAGGCGCYGGCGCCGCCGCCGCCTTCGGCAGCTCCAGCGACTTCCCTGACGAGACGCTGGCATTCGCCAAGGCGCACCCGCTGCTGCGCGACGCCGTGGCGCCCGCCACCGGCCGGCCCCTCTTCACCCGCACGGGCAGCAGGTGGGGCGGGGTGCGCACGGGGTGCACGCGGGGTGCGCGCGGGGTGCACGCGGGGTGCGCGCGGGGTGCACGCGGGGTGCGTAAGGGGTGCACGCGGGGTGCATGAGGGGTGCGCGTGGGGTGTGCATGAGTGCTCAGAGGTGCTCGCACTCGTGCACAGGTTTGCATGGGTGCTCGCAGGTGCTGGTGTGTGCCAGTGGTACTGGCAGGTGCCGGTGGTACTGGTGGGTGCCAGTGGGTGCTGGTGGGTGCCGGTGGGTACCGGTGGTGCCGGTGGGCGCAGCGCCAGTGCCAGGCTCCCTGTGCGCAGGCTGACGCAGCTGGCAGTGGACACGGGGCCGCGGGGCAATGACACCGTCCTCTTCCTGGGCGCCGAGGATGGGCGGCTGCTCAAGGTGCTGGCGGCGCCGCGGGAGCCCGGGGACACCGGGGACGCACCCGGGAACCCCGCGCGCACGGGGGACACCCCGGAGCCCGCGGCCGAGGCGCTGCTGTTGGAGGAGATCAGTCTCTACGACCCTGGCCGGTGAGGCCTGGACGCCTGGACCCCCAGGGGCTGCTCCCCTGCCTCAGTTTCCCCATGTGCAGGAGAGGCGGTGGAGGGGGGCAGGAGCCCGTTCCCCTCCCGTGGGCCATGGGTGCTGATGGGGCTATGCAGGTGCCATGAGGCCCCAGTGGGTGCCATATAGGGTCCTGGTGGGTGCCATAGGATCCCGATGGGTGCTATGGGGTCCCAGTGGAGGGCATACGGTCCTGATGGGTGCTGTGGGGTCCCATGGGGTGCCATGGGGTCCTGATGGGTGCTGTGGGGCTGCACAGGTGCCATGAGGTCCCAGTGGGTGCCATTGGGTCCCGGTGGGTGCCATACTGGGCGCTGACGTGTGTGTCGGGTGCAGGTGCCGGGGTCCGCGGGGCGCCAGCCGGGTGCTGGGCCTGGAGCTGCACCCGCCGCGCCGGGAGCTCTACGTGGCCTTCGCCGGGTGCCTGGTGCGCCTGCCTCTGAGCCGCTGCGCCCGGCACGGCACCTGCCGCGGGTGAGGGTGCAGGGCGCGGGCATGCGGGGCGCTGCGAGCTGCAAGGGCGCGAGYGGGGGTGAGGACGTGGCGGGTGCAGGGACATTGGGGTGTCAAAGGGCACAGCAGCATGGGGGAGACCAGGGAAAGTGCAAGAGCACAAGGGCATGCGGGAGGGTGATGGGCGTGCAAGGGTGCAGGGTATGCAAGAGTGTGAGGGGTGGGCAAGGATGCAGTGGTGTGCAGGAATGTGCAAGGATGCAGGGACTTGCAAGGATGCAGGACCGTGCRAGGACATGGGGTGCATAAGAACGCAAGGTGGTGCGAGGACACGAGGACGGGCGAGGGCACACGTTCTTGCGGGGACGTGCAAGGCACAGGGGTGTGCGGGAATGCCAGGATTTGCAAGGCCCGGGCGGGCAGGGACATGCAGGGGAGCGGGGCAGGAGCCTCCGCGGGCGCTGAGGCCGGGTTGCTGCCGCAGGAGCTGCCTGGCCGCCCGGGACCCCTATTGCGTGTGGCTGCCAGCCGGCGGCTGCGTCCCCTTCTCCGAGGACCTCCCGTAAGTGACACCAGGCGCGACGTCCCCTCCCAGGCGACAGGACACGCTGTGCTGTCCTGGCCCGGCTCACGCGAGTTCCCGGCTGCCTGGGCTCCTCCTGGCGGGGACAGTGGCTGATGTGTCCCCCCCACACCCCACATTCCCCCTTGGCCATGTGGGGCCTTGTGCCCAGGTTGGGCTTCGAGCAGGATGTGGATGGAGCCYCTGGGCTCGCAGGGACCTGCCAAGGTGAGTGGGGACATTTGGGCAGCAGATGGGCACGTTGGGGACTCAGGGGAACCTGGGGAGCATGGGGGGATGTGGGGAGGGTGAGGGGAAATTAGGGAACTATTGGAAGACACTGAGGGGTTTGGGGGGTATAGAGGGACATTGGGGGACATTGGGGGATCTGGGGGGATATAGGGGGTACCAAGTATGCTGGTGGCACCAGGGGGACATTGGTGGTACTGGGGGGCATTGAGGGAGATGACTACCAGGGGGATGCAGTGAGAAGCCTCAGTGGGGCCCAGGGATGTGGGTGGCACTGGGGGGCACAGGGGAGCACTGGGCAATAGAGGGACACCAGGGGGATATGAGAGGCATCCAGGGGTGTGTGGGTGGCCCCAGGATCCTGGCTTGACCCTCTCTTTGCTCCTGTAGATGTGTCAACCACAGAGGACGGGGACGAGGACTTGGCCCACGGTCAGTAACACCCATCACCCCCCTGAGCACTGATAGGTGACACTGCTTGTCCTGGGACCCCAGCACCTAGGGTGGGATCTCGGAAATGAGGAGGGATCCCAGGGACCATGGAGGGATTCCTRGGACAAGGAAGTGACCCAAGGACCAGGAGGGACCCCAGGCACTGGGGAGGGGTGTTGGGGACCAAGGGGGACCCAACTGCTCAAGGAGGGACCCACGGACTGGGGCAGAACCAAGGGCCAGGCCAGAGCCAAGAGCCCAAGGGAGCCCGTGGTGACCCCGGGAGCAGGGGGGGGCCCATGGAGCGGGATGGGGGCCCCGGGGGCTCGCGGGAGCTCCAGTGCCTGGCCCGGGTGGCTCCCTGAGGCACTGGCCACCCGCAGGGGTGCGACGGGAGCCGCCGGGTGCCTCGGTGCCGCTGCCGGTGCTGGCGGGCTGCGTGCTGGGCGCCTTCGCGCTGGGCGCACTGGCCGCGGGGCTGCTAGCCACCTGCTCCCGGGGCCCCGCGGTGCCCAAGGCCGCCGAGCCCCCCGCGCCGGCGCCCGCCGGGGCAGAGCCGCCCGCCGGGGCCGCCGCGGACGCGGCCGCTCACTCGGGTGCTCTCGGCGGGGGCCGCGGCGCCGCCCCCGGCCCGGCCCGGTGCCCTCAGCCGCTCGCTCTCGGCCAAGCCCCGGCTGCTGCCCAAGCCCCTGGCGGTGCCCGCAGCACCCGCGCGGCCCTGAGCCGGCCCTGGGGACACGGGGCAACCTCGTGTGCCCCCCGCCCTGCACATGGACACGCTCAGGACAGAACCCCGGACGGGGGCTCAGCTCTGGGCAATGGGGGTCCCTGTGCCCCCGTATGCGGGCACTGGGTGATGGGGGAGCCACGTCCCAAGCAGTCCCCAGGGACGGGGGTGCCTTGTCCCCAAGCAGCCCCAGGCCCTAGGTTATCAGGGTCCTCATGTCCCTGAGCCCCGCCCCTGCCGGGTGCCAGGTCCCTCTGTTCCTATCCACAGGCAACAGAGCCCCCATGTCCCTGGCCCTCTGCCCATCCCAGCCCACTGGAGTGGGGTCCCTGACACCCTCAGGTGACAGAGTCCCCTTCGTCCCCCACCCCCACACCCCTTTTCCTCTTTTCTAATTTATTGGCTGCTTTGGGGCCATGGGAACCAGCCCTGCAGGGCAGGGGGACACTGGGGCAAGGAAGGACGTGGCACGGGGTGGGGAGGGGACGGCTTCATTTGTCCTACTGTGTAGGACGGGGGCTCGGCCCCTCGCAGCAATTACAAAGTTTTTCCAGTCTCCGGTGCCTGCCTGACTCTATCTGGGGTTTGGGGGGTGAGACGGGAAATACGAGGGTACGGGGGGGGGGGGTTGGAAGGAGGGACAAGTAGGGACAAGTGGCCCCCGGACTCTGTGGGGAAGGTGTAAAAGGAGGCAGGGCGTGGGGGATGGATTTTGGGGAGCTCCTCCCACTCAACCTCTCACAAGCCCTCAGAGAAGCTCCCCTGTCCCTCCTGCCCTCGCGGGGATGCAAAGGCAGAGAGAGGAGCCGCGGAAACCACAAACCGGGAGCAAGCAGGGAGCTGCCCGCCGTGCCCGCGCCGCTGGGGCCGGGCAGCCCCCGGGCAGGAGCCCCCGTGGCGCTGCGGGGGCTCCATCCTCGCGGGGATGGAGTCGCCTCCCGCCCCGCGGCTGCAGGGACAGCGGCGGCGCCGCAGCCCGGTGGCGCTAAGCGGCTCCTCAGCAAGTGCCCCCCTCGCCCGCCAGGCTCGACCCGCAGGCACCGGCAGCGGGGCAGGAAACCCCGCTCGGGGCAGGGAATCCCGGCCCGGTCCCAGCGCCGGCACCAGGGACCCGCTTGGCCCTTGCGCTGGTGCCAGACGCGCTGGCGGCCGCGGCAGGGCAGCCGCTCACGGCGCCCGAGGGGAAGGCGCCGAACGGAGCCCCGGACCGGCGCCTTTCCCGGAGAAGGGGCCGCATTTCCCACCCGCTCCGCAGGGCGGGCGCCGCCGCCCGCCCCCGGGGCCGCCGCTCTCGGCGCGGAGCCCCGCGCTGCCCCCGCGCCCGGCGGCCTCGCGGATGCCGGGCATAGACGGGACGGTTCGCAGCCCCCGGCGCGGCGCCACGGGCGCTGTGGAAGGCAGAACCCCGGCGCGATGTCCACCCTGCACCCCCAGCTCCTTCACTCCGCTTCTACCCACGCCACCCAGTTTCCACGCCTGTCCCCGGCTTTTTTCCTTCCCCCTCACCTTTCTCTTCTGAAGGGGCACGTTGTTTCCCAGCTCTGAAGGGGCTTTTGGCTAAGGGGAAGCAGGGACTGAAGTGAGAATCCAAGTGGCCTTCACGGCCCCATGCAGGACTTATAGCTTGTTACAACTCTGCCGATRCACAGGAACCCAAGCTACAGGCAAACAGTGTAAGCGGGTAGCATCCCTTTCCACCCRGAAACATTGTGGGGCTCAAGATACCTGGAATTAGGTATCTAGATTTACTCTGACACCTTCTGGGGTCTTTGACATTTGCAGTTTATCAAACAGACCTGAATTTGGGGAATTTGGAGTGTGCTGGGCAACAGAAAACAAACTCACGCACCTGAAGCTGGAGAGGAAACCAGGCTGCATCCATAAGCGGGAACCGAGTTTCTCCAAACATACCTACATACATTCATTCATTCATCCATCCACTTAAAATAATTATTAAAGCTTGCTTCAAAACATGTTTTGGAAAAAGATAAAAAGTCATATTTATAAATATAACTACACTGGTTATAAATAAATGCACTTAGGTTCTCAAATCCAGCAAGTTGCCTTTACAGTAAGAGTATCATAAACCTTTCTTTCCTGAAGCTCCTTGGCGATCCCAACCAGTTCAAGATGTTGTTTCAAGTTGTCCAAGAGGCGATTTTGGCCCATCCAGCCTTTCCTTCAGAGCAGAGCCCATGCTCCAATAAACTCCAGAGTGCTGCATAGGAGTGCTCCAGGAACGAGACTGTGTGAGYGGGAAACCACGGCCAACTCGATCCCCAGGCCCACCCTGGCACGGCCAAAACTCTTCTTTGTGAAGCCCCTGCAGATACCAAGGAGCAACCAGCCTTGACGGGTGGTTTTACGGCCAACTGCTGTTTCTTTCTGGGGCAGTCAAATTGCTCAGACCTGCGAGCAGGAGCCCAGGGCTCTGTGGACTTGTAGCATCTCCCTGACATCCCGAACGCAGCTGTGCAGGGTCATCTATCAGCAAGGAGATGGAACGCAGGCAGCGGCTGAACCTACGTAACCCCCTAGTATCAGGACACATTTGAAAATAACAGGGAAAACAGCAATGCAAGAACCAGGAAATGGAACATCGGCACGAATATTGCCAACATGTGCAAAACGAGGACAAGAAACAAATAAACCACAGGCCAGAGCAGCAAGGAATATTCCTCTTTGCAAGGAGACGTATCTCGGGCAGCAGGAGAGCTGCTGGGGCCTCTGGTGCTGCAAGTCATTTCTAGCCTTTGCAACCCTTTTGTGCAGCTCGTGCGACGGCCTCTGCCTCTCATTTCCCTTGTGGCTGCTGAGACAGAATAACCTTTTGTTATCAAGTACCGCTTGATTCTTTGGAGTGCTTTCCTATCATCTTCCCCGCCRTCTTGAAGCACATAACCCACTAGCCTGTTAAGATGAAACTGTTCAGGTATCTCCCTTATTAAACAAGCCAGTAAAGTGGGGGGGGAAAAAAAAATCACATCTTAGTAGCAAAATCAACTGCCTGAAAAAAGGCTTCAGTAKATTTAAAAATGGCTTCGTAAAAAAGGGATATATTTATCTCCAAAGACAACTAAACTCCCAAGCCGTCTTGTGACAACGGCCTTATGTTTAGTTTTGCAGGTGTATTCAGTGTGTGAGTGCTACTGTTCAGCACAAAAGGGTCACCATTTGACTAAGCTCCATAAAAAGGAGGATTTTTTTGTGATCCCTTCAGGTAGTTAAGAAGTCTGTTGTGGAGCTGCCCAAAACTGTTCCTAAAACAGTCCCAAGAGGATCAAGTGTAATTCCCTGATATCTCAAAATGCCCAAGTTCCTGCGCACTCAACCTGGACTTTACTCTTGCATTGAAGGTTGCCTCAATTGGAACTAATTCTTTGGAGGAAAGCATAAAAACACCAAAAATATATGTAATTGTTCAAGTCCAATTAGTTTTCCAGCTTGACTGAGGTGTTGAACTCCGCCCCCCCACACCCCACAACTGTTTTTGTTTAAAACAACTGYTTTAAACAAAACAACTCCCCTAAGAGACTGCTCTTCCTGAATGTCCAGATGTGGTCACTCCACAGCAGGGAGCAAACACCTCAGGTCGTCGCACAGAGCCTCTTATCAGGGCTGTAATTTCAAGGCAGCTGAGAGCTAAATAGCGACTGCTTTGGCTCTGAGGTGCTGCTTTTCCACTGCCAACAATGCAGGTATCACCATCACAAAACTAGCCTGCAGCTCACTTGCTGGCCAAAACTTGCCAAAGCTTCCAACCGCTCAAGGTCGAGCTCTAGAAGCACCTTTGGGCGCTGTGCTGAAAGGCAGAGCTGTGTTGGGAGCCACCACAGCTCTGATCCCTGGGGACTGGACCACGCAGGTAGAACCGTTATGCAACTCTGCAGTAGCACGGTGCATCTGACAACCCTCTGCTCCCCACACTGCTTGCTGGCAGTACCTCGTGATTTTATATATATAATATATGCATAAAAAATGTTTTTTCCTTTACAAAAAGTCAGTAACCCAGGATTAGGAGGTCACAGTTTCCACAGCGATATCAGTCGGCTGAKCCATTTCCATCACAGCTAGTGTGGATCCCTCCAGGTCTTCCGTGGTTACCACAACCGTGTCCATGTCGGCCACCTCCTGGAACAGTGTCACCTCGGCCTCGTAGGGCTGCTGCCTCGCCATGGCCGCGAGCTTCAGCCGGTACCGCTCTGCCTCCTGCTCCTTCCTCATGAGCTGGCTCCGGTATTCCTGGGCCTTGCGGTTTGCCTCCTGCAGCTGCTGCTGCAGCACCTCCCTCTCATCGCTGTCCTACAGGAAAGGGAAGGCAGCAGAGCTCAGTATGGAGGCAATTCCAAAACCGGCACAGGGAAGAGCAGCATGAACGTGCGCTGCAGCGGGCTGGGCACCCAACACCCTTAGCAGCAGGGGAAAAATGCACAGGAGACAACTGCAGTGAGCTACAAACAGGAACACTTACCTTCTCTTCCTCCAAGTCATTCATATTTTGTTCTGCTTTTTGCTTCTTGGCTGGTGGGTCTTCTTCCTCTTCGGCATCATCACCGTCTTCAATAACAGCCTCTCCYGTAACCTGACCAGCAGGTACAGTTAAAACTGAAAACAAATCAGAGACGAGAAATTATACAGGGTGAGAGAGGCTTTGGCACAGATGTTTCCTGAAAGACTGCTTTGAAATTAGCACATCTGTGTGGTTCCGGAGAAAAAAAGAGAAAAATGCCTCCGGCTCCCCAGAGAGGAACTCCGGAGCAACGCGCCAGTTTTGTGTTAGACTCTGCCAYAAGAATAAACTGCTTTTTCAGAGTCCCATCACACTGCAGCATTGGTAGAATCTGAAGGTGAAGGTTKGTAGGTTTGTGTCTTAGAAAACATGTAACGCTTCCATTTTGATGGTTCAGTAATACAATTAATAGCCAGGACAGGTTAAACAAGAGGGAAAGAAAGCTGCTCTCAAAGGTTTCCAGTACAAAGAGCCCTGCTGGTTAAGCTCAGACACAGCTATAAGCACATACAGCAGCTGCAAATATAGCAGAGAAAAAAAGAGCATTTTAAAACTGCAAACATGAGTTTTCACTTTGGGAAGCCAGTACCAGGAATTTGTCCTACCAAGGAGTAGGAACGCACCACGTGAGCTGTGGAACTCAGCCTAAACAGTTCTCCTTTTGTCTTCGTTTGAACAAGAATGGGTTGCAAGCGTGGAATTATTTGTATTGATTTGGCAAACAACTCTGAATAACCAACAGACTTTAGAAAATGCTTTCCACTCATGAAGACCGTAAACTGGCAGAAGTGACATAGCTCATTGCACACTGTGACACTGGAGGCATGTTCCAGGAGAGCTCTTTTTCTTCCTCCTCTTCCCTCCACCTCTAATGTTAATACAAACAACCACATATCCACTCGGCATGCTAAAAGCACTGTAGGTAGTAGACAAGGCAGAGGAATTACATCCCTTGAGGAAATAAAAACTCCTCAAGACAGGGTAAAGGAACAAGCTTTGCCTAGCTGCCAGTAGGACAGCAGCTGACCGCATTTTTATTCCTCATGAATTTTTCTAAACAAAGGCATTTGGTTTCAAAACAAAGATTCAAATACTGTAGTGTAGCAGCACAGACGCGTGTCAGTCGGCAAATGAGCCCCCGCCAAGCTTTATCGCTGCAGTAAATCACATGAGCTTTATAATCCTGCCTGGTCCCAGCAGCAGGGCATGAACCCGTTATAGCACTGTGCTGGCCGGCCAGATCGTACCAACAGGCGTCTCGAGAAGRTCGGAGATACCAGGATGGGGTTTTTAATCTTGTCAAAGCTCAACTCTCAGCACCGGCTGGCAGCTTCCCGGGCTCGGCTGCCCCTCACCTTGCTGTCCGTCTTGCACGGTGACGATGAAGGGCTGGCCGAGGCTGTCGGCGGGCACGGCTGCCTGCAGGCTGCCCAGGGGGACTCCATCTGTCACAACTGTGATAACTCGCTGCCCGCCGCCAACCACCTGCTGTATGGCAGAGTCCACAGAGGTTGCTTCTGCTATTTCCTCCCTGATAACTTAAGAAATAAAGCGCCAAGAAAGTCAGTGTTGCCTCCTTTCCTCACACATGAACCGAGGCCTAATGAAAAAGCTCAAGTTTGCAGCACCAGCAACCTGGAACAGCTGCTTAGGAAACAAGAAAACAGAAATACAGAAAGTCTTAGTGGGAAACAAACCCCATTACTAAGCCTTAGTTGCTAACAAGATTTTTCATGGGAGAAAAAAAAAAAAAAAAAAAAAAACCACCCACAACCCTCCATGTAATTGAAGGAGTTTAGAGCACCAGCATCCAAGCAAATGTATTAAAGACTCAAGAACTGCAGGCAGCTGCTAAACAGAGTTGACTTGCTAGGATCCTTTCCCCAAAGACCCTGAAAACCCTTTGTGCTTCCAGGGCRCCACCCACACTGGCGCAGCCCAGCCCGGGGAGGCTCTTTGGCTTGGCTGGATGGCTCCAAACCCGTTCAGCTCCCTGGGACTCCCTTTTTAATGGCTTCAGGCTCACACAATCCACCAAGGCTGCAAGCCCTCAGCTGCATCCTGCTCCTGGCACTCGCTGCAACACAAGAAATCGCTACCTGACCCGCTCTGCACACGCTGGGTGCCGGAGAGGAAAACACCCAAGCGCTGGAGCTTGAGAAATCAGTTGTGGGGCRCTATCGGCTTAAGGAAGTCAAATAGCCCTCTCCAAATTCAAGGAAAAATGCTGAGTTTTGGGGAAGAAGTGAAGTCAAAAGTGAAAGGATTACATAAACTATCAAACTCCTAAATCTGAAGTTAATTAAAAGTCGAACGTTGCATTCTACAAACATACCATAAAAGAGCATGAAGAGAAACAAACCAGAACAACTTTCCAAAGGAAGAAGTTACTAGAGCTTCAAGAGACTCAAAGCATTTGTTAAATATCAAGACTTGAAACTGAACAAACTGGCAACCTGGAGAGACCACATATTTCAAATAATTTTCTTCTTAATTATTTCTCTACATTTATGTATGAAAAATAAAATCTATATTCTGGAGTATTTTTTCTAACTGGCTAAACATGTCAAATGCAACGCGCAAATGTCAGGGTCAGAACAGAGCACGTTACATAATAATTACGAAGCGTCATTTCCATCAGCAACAGCTGTTTTTCAAATTTATGCTGGGGTAACAATTTGACCCAGCAGCAAACCAACATCCGTTTAGCCTCAACTCTTCATTACTATGAGTCCAACCAAATCCACTCACAGGTTGCACCCAGGTTATCCTCAAATTCTCTCCAATTGCTGGGCAGATTAATACTAAAATTACACCAATCTGAGGCAGCGGCCACCCACTTTCCCCTACCTGCAGCTCCGCTCGAGTCGGAAAGAGGCGCTGATGCTTCAGCGAGGGCCGCGAGCGTGGCGAGCACGGAGGTCGTCGAGTTGGAAAACGGCACCGTGGCTGCATCTGAACCCCCTGCTTGGCAAGAGAGGGACAAGCTGAGGGGCTTTCAGGACCCGCTGTGCCCCACACGGTAGTCACCTCAACACTCTTGTCACTTGGGGTCTGAGCCTAGTACAGGATATTTGTTGGGCTCCCAGTGGTCAGCAGAAAAGGGAGGTGGAAAATATTAAGTTCCAGRAGAGGTGTCTCTCCTAACTGCGAAAGGGGCTTTGATTTTACTTTGGGACAAAGAGCATCCACTCTGAAATCTTACAATAATTTAAACCAGTTTAAAGAAAATACTGCTTTAAATCATTACTAACCTATATGAACTGAACCAATTTACTTGGAAAAGCTGTGGAAAGTCAGGCCGGCTGCTGCGCTGAGCTTTGATGTGGCAATGTGGTCAGGTTTTCCGACACACAGCCAGGCTGCCGGCTGGGACTCGGCCGTGCCGAGGTCTGGCTGCTGCACTGTTGTGGAAAAGGGGTTGCTATGCACGTCATGACTTGGCATCGTAAACTTCCAAAATTGCCAATGCCAAAGAATATATTAAACTGGTTGGCTGTTATAAGTAAACTGTACTACCCAAGTTCTTACTCAACCTGGAAAGTCTCCAGGTACTGTCTTCAGCATTACTTCATGGAGCAAATGCTTTTCTCAAGGCACTTTAACAGAGCCTTTTTCTCAGATGCAAGAGTCAGAGTATATCTCTTTATTGAAATACACTGAGCAGAGCTTCTCTCCTCCCTTCTCAGGTCTAGTAATGGGAGGGAAAAAAAAAAAAAAAAAGAAGAGCCAAGGCTGCTGCAATAGTGTTGATGTGAGCAAGATAAACAAGTCCTCTCAGTTCCAGTATACAATGTCTCTTCCTTCAATTGACCAGAGTAGTTCCTATTCCAAATCGGAAGTAATAAGAATGGAACAGGAAACTGAACTAAATGGGCGCAGTCTCAGTACTTTATTTGCATGCACATAACTCACAGTTCCTCTTAAAAACAAAGTCCCATGCTTCACTACCAGTGCAGATTATAAGCACACAAGGATAATACAAAGGGAAGTTCAGCTAAAGTTCCCCTGCCTTGAGCCCTGCAACCTGTTCTCTGTCTCACTCGCTCCTTGACTACATGAAGGTTACAGAGGGGATTTATTCCCAAAGAAGCCCTTTCAAAAGGTCGTGGGCTAAGCGCATGAAAATATTGTAAGCTTAGCAATTGTTTTGAGCAGTTTGAAATTACTTTTCTAAAGCAGAGTTCTTCACATCAGCTGAGGATAGTCTCATTCAAAATGATTTTTAAATAACTGAAGACACTAGAAATTTAAGAGCAGTCAGGTAAATTTTAAGATGTTTTAAGTGTTGAATTTTTCTTGCAATGAAAACACAGTCGCTGACGCCCTCTTGTGGGAAGCAAGGGAAAAGCCCTCCCAATGCGACCCACAGCAGGGACACCCTCACATGGATTATTTTAACGCTCCTTTTCTTTTGCACACGTTGCAGGTGTCACAGGAGGAAAGGGCCTGGGTATATTAACCAAGTTGCATGTGGTCAATAAGCCATCACCTTGAAGCGGCCCCAAGAAAGCAGATTATGTTGCTGGATATAGGAGGAAAGGGGCAGTGAGAAGCAGGGAGCTGTGAGGCCAATGCTGAGCCTGCTTATTTGGGGAACTGCTGAAGTCACTGTGGTCCTGCAGAAGCAGAGGGGTAGCACTGCAGAACACCAGCATTCCAGTTTTTAAAAGCCCTCTCTAGTTAGGTGCATATGAAAGGTGCCACCAACTGAAGAGCTGCACGCAGGAACAGTGGCAGGACAAAGCCGAACTGCTGCGTATGACTTCAGCAGCCCCCACGAGGCTGAAAGGAAACAACGACTCGCATCTCCTCAACTACAGGAAAGTAATGGTAGTTACTAGGAAAGCCGGAATGGCAGGAAAATTATTTGAAATTAAAATAATTCAAATTTATAATTTGAAATACGTACTCAGCCTTACAAGTCTCTTCTCCATCAATATATGGCTTACAAAACAACAAACAATCTAATGCTTGATCCAGAACAAATAAGGAATAATCTACATATCCCATGAATCTGCTTCCTCTTCAAGGATCCACCACTTATATACATCAAAGTCTTCATTCAAGATTTAAGCTCAGCAGACCCCCAGCTGAGCTCAGCAGAGCTTGGCCACTTACAGTGCAACTGCCTGCTCTTAYGTCAGCTGCAAGGCTGCTTTATTACCTTGGAGGGCAGAAATATTTTGAGGTTGAATGTAGCAGTCTGCTGTGTTTGGGTATGTGTCACCTTCTTCCACTGTTCAATGGCCATCTGCCCTCTACTGGTTAGCTCTTGGAATTAAGAGGCATCCCTAGGGACTTGTTAGGCCAAGACTAATCCGCTCAAGGATAGCTAAAACCTTACCTGAGCTTGTTTTGGTGCTTGCTGATGAAACAAGGCTGGCGAGATTGAGTACTTCCCCCGAGGCAAGAATGAACGGTGACGTGACGGTGACCGTGTTCGTGATCGGATTTGTTCTCTCTGGATGTGTGTTCACCTGGTTCTGCATTGCTTCCTAGGAAAAGAGCAGGGTTAGGCCTATGCCCTTCACGCCTTTGGCGCYGAGAAGTATTTAGCACCCATGGAGCTGCTTAGAAGTAGATAATKGCTCCCTGTAGCCTGTCATTAGACACAACAGGAGCCCTCTCACTTGAGATCCACTTGGTGTGGGCACCAAGAACCCCTCCTAATCTACAGGGAGAAATACGATTCCCTCGAGAGCGAGTCATTGGGCTTATTTAGACACCTACCTTGGGATCCTCTGAATCACCTCCTGGAGGCAACCATTCCTTTGTGCCGAAAGGAAAGGGAGTCTGCACATCCAGCTCAGAGACTCCAYGCTCATCTGAACCTACAGCCAGAATTTTCCAAGCCCAGTGCCATGTCAGCTTGGCATGCTGTAAAATTTACCTCAACGTTTCTTATCTAAGCATCAAGTTTCCGTGAGAAACATCTGTCCTAGCATTTCCAGAAGTTGCGGATCCCTCAACCTACCTGTAGCATTACCAGAGTCTCTGGATTGTTCTTGTCCAAAGCAATATCAAAAGCTGATTTATCAAACTTGCTGAAAGCATGCACATCAGCTCCATATCTGATCAGCAACTCTACAACATCTCGGTGGTTGTGCTCTGTTGCCCAGTGCAAAGCAGTCATTTTCAGCATGTCCTTAGCATTTACATCAGCCCCGTTCTGAAAGAAATAGGCACTGTTTGTCAGGGCAGCRCCATCCTGCAGCGTAAAGCGTCACTTACCACCCAGCAAACAACCCTTAAGAGAGCCCAGTCTTAACAGTCACTGTCCTGATAAGTCACTCTCATCTTGTTTGTTTATAAAAATAGCTTGCAGAAATAAAGAGTTCTGCCTATATCATAAGCTTACCCTAATCAGCAGCTCTACAATAYGAGTGTGTCCGTCTGCTGCAGCCATGTGTAGGGGAGTCCTGTCCACTTTGGTTCGGGCATCTCTGCTAACACCAGCTCGGAGCAGCACTTCGGCCGTGGAATAGTGGCCGTACTGGGCAGCGAGGTGGAGAGGCGACGTCCCAAGCTGCGGGGTCATGGAGAAAAGGTTCTGTCAGTTCAAAGCAAGAGAGGATGGGCACAGGAATTGCAGCAGCTTTAAAGGACAAAAAATGACTGGGTTTTCATGGAAGAAAAGGTTATCAGCTTTCCTCTTYACCCAAAAATACGCAGCTGCAGATCGAGGACTTTTCCTGAAGGATTTATGCTCTTTATGCATATTTATTTACATTGTCTGATAGTTTAATAAGCAATTACAGGTGTACATTCTCCGCTATTTCATTCATTTGCCACTGATCATCAGGAGTGTTTCTTTCCAGGATAAAAGCAGAATAGGCCTGCCTTTTCTATATTATGATAGATGATATAATCACTAATTAGATAACAACAATATGGAAAYATTACTGGGCTCTGCTTCCCTCAATACAGACAATTCCTTTATTTCCCAAACCTACAAACAGGACAGGAAACTAAGACAATCGGTGATGGAAAATACCTGCTGGTTGCATATTCATTGTTATCAGGTTCTCCGATTTTCAATTTGTTATTTTCGCATTTTCATTAAAGCTTTCATTTCCTTTCCTACCCAGGATAGGCCTGGTTTGCTGTTATTTATTTTTCAAACAAAGATGATTCTCCTGCAAAGTTTAACCACACCAACAAAGCATTCCTTAATAACTTTCCACTACTAGAACGTTTAGCAATTCTTCCAATCCGATTTCCTTGGCTAGGAAAGAACACTACAAGATGGGTAGTGTTCCAACTCTACCTCCAAAAAAATACTTTCAAAACAACTGACCAATATTCTTATTCCCAAGAAGGGTTTAAACGTTGATGGATGTGGCCTGCTGGGGCCTGGTAGAGAAAAGCTCCCCCTTCTCCAACGTACCCAGTCGGTGGTGAAAGGGGCGCCGTTGGCCATCAGCGTTCGCACTTCGTCATCTTGGCCTTTGCGAGCTGCTTCTAGCAACCTCTTCCCTAAGTCCACTAAGGACATCTTTAGACATGGGAACGAGTATTTGCCRAAATCTGCTTTAATCAGAGGGAACGAGATACGGAAAAAAAAAGTAAGAAAGTGAGACAGAGACATTTCAAAAGTGCAGTGCAGCTAACACATCCAAAGGGCAGCTGGACCAGCAGATCTATTCTCTTCCCAACAGAGTTGGGCCCAACTATAAAAACAGACTCAAATGTTTCTCACAGATCATTTTTTTCCATTGCAAGCCTTGACATTTCAAGGGAAGGCAACCACAGGTTAAGTCTGCGAGCAGATCAGATAGCACAAGACATCAGGGCTCCTGCAGGACCCCACTTACCTCAAAAGGGCCTTGTATGAACACGAAGACTTGCCCATGTGGCTCCAGTTCCGAGAGCAGAACCTGTAAAAGAACAGCAAAACTATTCACATTTATTGCACAATGCTACTTTCATTCTTAAAGCACTTTTAAGAACACAATCTGCAAGGTACAGCTAACTTGGGGGGAAATACCYCTGTTCGCTATTGGCAGAGCATGCAACAAACCTTGGGACCTTTGCTGACTTGTGCAAGCTCATAAAGGGAAGCAGAACCTAAGAGTTCCCATTTTTGTGCTCAATTTAGACAACAGCACCTCTATTTCAAACTACATTTAACTATAATTCTAGGAAATAGCCAAAGGCTCTAAAACAGGGTCTATTGCTTTAATGAAGAAATACTTCAGTGACACACTAGAAGGCCTTATCAGAAACACAAGTGCTAYGAAGTAAAACCAAACAGTAAACCTCGCCCTAAATCTCACCAGGCAAAAATGCCCATATCAACTACTCCTTCCTAAATTACCTCTCATTTTATAAGGCTATTTTAAAAAAGCACATTTTACTACATGCGGCCTCTACAGAAAATTCAAGAAACCAGAAACGTTTAGCTCCCTGTGACAAAGGCTTGATGTTCATGGAGACAACGCCAGAGAAAATCCCCTTGCTGTTTCCATCTGCTCACAGAGCACGTGCAGCAACGTGGAGCCTGCTCTTCAAATGGGCTCCGTTACCGTCAACCGCTTCATGCTGCAAACTCAGGGCCGCCACAAAACCCCACAGGGAGGAGCAAAAAGGGCCAGGAGCCCCAACACGATCCTGCGCCCCTCCGCAAGCTGCTCACGTTAAAAACACTCATGTGTAGCTTTGCAGGCATAAGGAGTTCCACCAAACTCGGYGGATCATAAGCCTATGTATTTGCAAGCCTGAAGTTAAACGGAGAAATGGKTTCATCAATGAACCCCCTGCTAAAACATCAGGTACTCTGCTCTTGTTAACCTGAAGCGCTGTTACTTATTAATGGCTTTTTGGAGCCCTCACCTTACACCCCTGCTTCATGATTTCAGGGAAGGTTCAAGCCTGAGGTTTCTCAATTTTAAGTGTTTTTATGGTATTTGCAAATTGGGGAACCAGCTGACAAGCACTGTGCTTGCACCCCCCCCTCCAAGCACCCCATTCCCTTTGCTGTAGGGTAGAAGCAAAGGAGGCGCTTCCCAAAAGGAACAAATCCCCCTCTGCTATTTACCTGCCAGTTGGGGGGCCACAGCCCCAAATCGAAGAGCCCTCCCCAAAAGGCCAAGCAAGACAGACCTGCGCTCCCAGCAACACCGTCCCCACATGCCCAGGGACGCTCCAGCACCCACTCCCCTCCCTGGGATGCGGCCTCGCTCCCTAAGGCCGGGACCCTCCTCTCCCCTTTCGTCAGAAACCTCCCCCCAGGGAAGCCCCCTGCCCTGGCGCCAGGACCCCCTCCTGGGGCACCCCCTTTCCTCCCCTCCTCCCAGGCCACCCCCATCTCCACAACCTCCTCTCCACACCCCGCCAGGTGCACCCCAAGCGCAGAGTCCCCCCGGTATCACCCCTGCACTGAGGGGAGTAGCACGTGGCTCCCCAGACAGCCCCAAAATCAGCCCCCCCCCCCGCAGAGCGCTCCCCTTGCAGCTCTCCTCACAGAGAATGGCCCCCATCGCCTGCCCCGCACTCCGAAGGGCCCCCCCAAAGACCCCTCTCACGGGCGGCCCCACCTCCCGCATAACGACCCCTTATGGGGGGGGCAGCTCCCCCCTCCCGGCCCCCCCAAACCCGCCCCCTCGGCCCCACTCACGCGCCGGCTCCAGCCCCCCCAGGCGCGCGGCCGGTCCCTGCGCGGCCCCGCCCACACCAAGGCCCCTCCCGCCCCTCCCGCCGCGGCGCCACAAAATGGCCGACCCGGAAGCGAGGCGAGGCAGGATAACCGTGTTCGGGGACCAAAAGAGTCCCGCGAGGCCCGTGACGGCCCCGCTCTGCCACGAATAGGGCGGGTGTGGAGGCATCCAGCTTATCCCGGACATCCTCCTCCCACGGGGAGCGGCGACGGCTCCGGGGATCGGCGGGGGACAGCGGGAAGGGAGTATTTTCTCCAGCGGATGGATACTCTGCGCTGGGTGATGCGCCACGCTTAGTCCCGGCCGAGGCGTTTAGGCGCCAAGTATAAAAGGGGCGGCGGCGGCCGYAGCGGCGTTCGCGATGGCGCCTCCTTGAGGGCAGCTGGTTGCTCTCCTGTGTTGCCCCTCTCGCCTCGGCGGTCGACAGCCCTTCCATCCACAAATACATGCTTTTATCATTAAATTTGTGCGAGTCTCTGCCTTTTCCCTTGCTTACAGGGTCCCTTCAGTGAGGGTGGTTGTAAGTTGCTCCTGTGGTGACTCACCTATTTTGGGCCATGTAGTGCTGTGCAGTGTGTGATATTAGGTAAATAGGAAATATTTGATGTGAGAAAAAAATCCCATGGAGCAGCTCCAGTGGCTTGGAGAGATCTGAGAGTCCAGGGAGGACGTTCAAATAATCCATTTGCTCCCCGGTGGTGTTTTTCAGTGCTCCTGAGCCCTCYAAAGAGCAGCTGATGTGGAGAGAGTGACCTATAGCGTTTGTAAATAGGCTTTATGTTCTCCCCCTTACAAAAAAAAGCAGGAGGAAAAATGATGCAAAGTTGTGTGTGGGGGAGAAATGTGAAAGTTTTTTGTTTGGGAATTTGGGAAGGGCCAGGAATGCCAGGCATTTAAAGGCTGGGCATAAACAGCCCTGCTGTTAAGATGTTGGGTTAGAAAGGCTCAAATTGCAGGTGAAACAGCCCCCAAGAGCAACCCCATGCCTCCTTTTGTGAGAGCAAACAAAGCATCATTTGTTTGTGCCTTTTAATAGTTTGTTTGTTTGTTCTCCTTGTCCCTAGTGGGAAAAACACTGGACGCTGCAGCTGGCTGGCCACAAATGCYGGGACTCGCGTGGCAGCCGTGTGCCGCCGGGATCAAACCCGCCGGGCGATTCGGGGAGGAAGGCGGCACGGTGCAGGGTGCTGAGATGTGGATGCGACCGAGGACACAACATGGGGACRCGGGGGGAAAACGCGCTCAAATTCAGCTCCGTGATAAAGTTATCAGGGACTGGCAGATGCCTGCTCGCTTGGCCTGAGCTCCCCTGGGCTGAGTATGACAGTGTAAATTTATAGCTGGTTTGGAGAGCCTCGAGGGGAGAAATTCCCAGGAAAACAATAGCAATAAATAAATAAAAACAAAACCCCAGATTTCTGGAAGTCCCTCCTTGGGGTAAGCACAAAAACAGGCACCTGCCCCACAGCTCAACCAGCTGCAGCCCATGGCGGTGCCTGCAGTTTGGAGCTGGGCTGGAATTGAGTTTTGCCAAGGATAAATGTTGCTTGCTCCAGCTCCAGGTGSTTGAGGGAAGTCTATGTGTTTCGGTGGCATTTCACTTATGAGAGGGAATAATTCCTGGAGTGGAGCTACTCTGTAATGCTGCATATTCCACCTCAGTCTCCTTGGAGCAGGATACTTTGGTTTTCCATTTGAAATATTTTTTTTTTCATTGCAGTGTATATGCATGTGTGCATATATCCCTGAATCTAGAAATACGTTGTGGGTGAGTCCTTTTAGCGTTGGTTTGAAACAAAGTACTTTGGACCAGCCCAAAGTGCAGAAATCATCTGTGTCTTCATAGATGATTTCCAGTCTGTTTTCTTCCCCCACCACACTTTTTGCTGGGTGAAGGGAGTCACAATAATCATTATTTTTCCCAGGGWAACAAAAAAATCCTCTTCCTCCAAAGCATTCTGATGACCACACAACATTCGACCACTCTACCAGGTGCAGGGGACACAGAATTAGGCCTTTTATTTAGCATCCTCATCAATTTCCAGTGTCCCAATGGAAAAAAAGAAACGACACAGACATTACAGCCACAGCTACATGTTCCCATTTCAGCTTTCAGTTCACAGTTGAAAAGACTTGAAACAATTTAATGGCAAAGTACAGAAAGAGCTGGATTCCAGTCCGCATGGATTCCTAAGCATCCGCAGAAGGGTGTGTTTTTAAATTTTACTTCAAGTTTCATAATAAATACTGCAGCTTTCCCAGTTGGAACATAAAAATCAAACATCTCTGCTTAAGAGCATTTGCATTTTTCACCACTGGCTTAAAATAGGTGATTTAGACTCATTCAGGGCAATTCAGGTTGGATCCCCCCAGCAAACAACCTTGGGAAGAAGTTGCGTAAAGGAATGATTCAGGGGGTTCTTCTCCCCCGGTTTCGAAATGGCACCAGGAAGCAGAGCCTGCCCACACCCTAAAACCTCCCCTGAATAAAACACAGCACCCGGCAAGATCCCYGTGTGAACAGGGGAGCGTTTTGGGGTGCTTTCTATGAAAGGGGTGCATAAGCAGGTGGGCAACCAGAGACGTTTTCCTTTTTCAGGGTGGCCTCATGTTAATTCTGCTTTCTGCCTTCCAGCTCTCCTTGTTACCCAAGGGCGTAGGRTCACCCTGGGGCTCACAGGAGTGCGAGGAGAAACGGGGAAAATCTCCGCGAGCACCTGAGCAAGAGCGGCCTTCTGCAGGGCGAGGGCAGGTTCCCATGGGCTAACGGAGGCCCCACGTTCCTCCCTTTGCACAAACGGGTTCCTTGCAATAAATAAATAAATAAATAAATAAATAAATAAATAAATAAATAAATAAATAAATAGAATAAAAGCAGAAGAGGAAGGAGCTGAAGCAGCTGGGGCTGTTTCTGCCCCTCCTGCTTGCGTTTGCCCCTAGCTGGGGGAGCTGCTCACGCCATCGATCGTGGACTTCCCATGGGAAGGGAGGAAAATGGGGGGCGGGTGGAGTCCGAGGCTGCAGCTTTGCGGAGAGCCCTGCGGAACCACCGAGTTAATTTGCAATGTCAAAAAAACATGCCTGCAAAACCCAAAACAACCCCCAAACCGACAACATGCACAACTAACAGCCCCAAACCCCTGCGCGCCTGGCGGAGAGAGGGGGCAAGGGGGGCTTCAAATGAGATCGAAATCCAGCGAGCTGATGCTCGCGATGGGCGCCCTCCAGAAATTGAAGCTGCTGAACTGAAGCAGGGCAGCGTCTTCCTCGGAGCCGTCCTCTTCCTCAGCCGCCTTCTGCTCGCCAGGGCGCTTGCCCAGCGCCACCTTGGGCTTGAAGAGGGCCCCGTCGGCGAGTCCCAGCCCCTCCAGCTCCGCTGTGTCCAGCCGCGGGATCGGCATCCGCCAGTAGATGAAGGAGTCGTACTGGCTGCTCATGGTGTCCAGCATCTTCGGGCTGCCGCGGCGAGGGAGGGGAGGGGAAAGAATAAGGAGAAGCTCCCGGCCCCCCATAAAAAAAATAAAAAGGGCTTTGGGTTTTGCCCTCCAACCCATATTCCGGGCTCGGATGAGCGGTGCCCTGCGGTGGCACGGAGCACCTGGGAGGTGCCTGTAGGAGCCCGGGCTGCTCCATGCCTCAGTTTCCTTTTTTTTTTACCCCTCACACAAAGCAGAGCCCGCCCCCCCCAAGGACTGCATGCCCCCCGGCCTGCTCTGTGCTTTGGAAAGCAGCAGCCTCAGGACCGCAGCACCTCTCCTGCCTCCCCACCCTGATCCGTAAGAGCTGAGGCCGCCRGGGAGCTGAGTCACGGCCACTGCGACCCGCTGTTCCCTGCTGGGATGCTGGGATTGCCGTCCCTCTCTGGCAGCCGGGACCGCTGTCACGGAGCCACCGGGAAGGAATCGGCACAAGCGAGCCCACAAGATGCTCTTTTCCCCCAGGGGTTTTGCCCTTTTTCAGCCTTGGAAATTGGATTCCCACAGGATGAACGGGGCGTCACCGGCGTGGAGCCGCCGGCGTGGAGCCGTTCCCTGCTCCCTTCTCCATGGTGGGTCTTGGCTCCGGGGTGCTCCATGTAGGCTCCCGTGTCACCCCCGAGGGGAAAGGAGGGTTAAAGAGCCCCAGGGGTTAAAGAGCCTCCTGCTCGTGGAGGATTTTGGGGTGTCCGAGCGCAGTGCCGGGCTTGGGGGGACGGATCCCTCCGGCATGAGCTCGGAGCAGGTGCAAAATACCAAGGGTGCCTTTGGAAAACATCCCTTGAGCGGGACCCTGGGGGGCCAGCAGCTCGCAGCACGCACCACCGCTCCCATGCAGCCCCCGCTCGCCRTTTCTCCCCAAATCCCCCCAAAACGCGGCCTGGAGGGGTGAATCCCCAAGGTGGTTTTTCACCCCGCGCGGCCGGTCTCCTACCTGCAGGCAGACGTSGGGGGAAGCGGCGGCTCTTTGTGCTGGCGGCGCCGCCTCGGCTTTGTGCACGGCYGCTCCGCAATGCAGCCCCCGCGCCCCCCCGGGACACGCGTGACGCGCCGGGGACGCCCACCAAGCGCCCAGCAACGGGCGCCGCGGTGCCGCCCGAGCACCTTGGGGGGTGGCACTGCGGATGTGGGGCATGGAGGGCGGGGTTTGGGGTGCGGATGCAGGATTTGGGGCACGGATGGGGGACTTGGGGCACGGCCAGGCCGGCTCTTCTCCTTGTCTCCCCCMGGATTAAGGAGCCTTCTGGCACCTGCGGGTGGCTTTTCTGGCACCCTCCCTTTGGGGACATCCTGCTGCCCCACTCACCCCCTCAGTGCCTCGGCTGTGCTGGGCTGGTGATGTGGGATAACGGATCCATGGGGATCCCGCGGGACAGGACAGGCTGAGCTGGGATGGGATGGATTGAGAGGGGATGAGATAAGATGGACTGGTCTGGGCTGCTGCTCTGGACCTGGACTGGACCCCAGCCAGGATCAAGGAGGAGGAACCAAAGGTGCCCCCTGCCCTCCCCCTGGGCTGCCATGTCCAGCCCCTTTGGGACCCCCATTGCACCAGGACCCCCCTCAGCCCCTTCAGGACCCCCAGTCCCACCAGAACCCTCCCCCCCAGGCCCTTCGGGACCCCTGGCCCCACCAGGACCCTCCCCCAGCGCCTTTGGGACCCCATTCCCACCGGGATCCGCCCCGCCGCCAACCCATTCAGGACCCCGGTCCCACTGGGATCCACCCCTCCCAGCCCCTTCGGGACCCCGGTCCCATCAGGCCCCCCCTGGCCCCTTCGAGACCCCTGGGCGCAGCGTCTACCCCCTCCCCGCGCCCCCCCCCGCTCGCCCGCCTGTGACGCAGAGTGCGATTTCCCAACAGGGAAGTCATTTTGTGCGCCGGAAAAGGCAGCGGCGGCGCCGGCAGCGGGGCCTGCGAGCGGCAGGGGGGGCTCCGTGGGTCCGACCCCCCCGTTAACCCCTGGTGGAGGCGGCGGCAGCCGAGACCAGGCACAACTCATTGCAGGGGTGGCCGAGGGGGAGCCGGCTGTGAGTGCGCGGGTCGGGCCGGGCTGGGCCGGGCTGGGCAGGCACCTTCCCAGGCGGCTGCGTTTACGTTTTGGGGTGGGGGGGTGTTGGGGGACTTGGCTTCACTGCTGGCTTGTACGAGGTTGCGCCCGGCGGCCCTTCCCGCGCGCCAAATGAACGGAGCGGGATGCGGGGGGGGGGAGCGGGGGGCTCTGCCGCTGGCTGCTCCGGTGGCTTCCGGGAAAAGTTGGGATGGGAAATTTTCCCTTCCTCCCCCAAAAAAAAAAAAAAAAAAAGGCAAAAAAACCCTTAATGGGGGGGAAGGGGAGGGGGCGGGCTCCCCAGCCCGTGCGGCTGCCGCTCTGCACCGTGGGGCGCCCCGAGGCCACGGTGTGGGGTGCAGGGGGGCCCTTAGCCCTGCCTCTCTCTCCCCCACGAGCCGCCCTGGGGCCGGGCTGTGCCAGAGCCCCCCGGTGCCACAGGGATCGGGGAGCCGCTTCCCCGGCTCCCGGCAGAGCGGGTCCGGACCAGCCCGCGCCGCCCGCTCTCCCTTGGTGCCCCCCCAAACACKGGCGGCAGCCTCGGGACCGCATCCCACCGGGAGCCGGGGCAAAGGGAAACCAGGGCCGGAGTAGCCGCGTCCCTCCCTTGGCCAGGATTCGGGGTGCAGGGGGACCCGGGGCCGGGAGGTTCCCAGGCGGCTGCGCAGGCACCGGGCCCTGCATCGGTGGAGCAGGAAGTGCCGGCCCGGCTGCCCGGACTTGGGCCCCGGCAGCACCGGAGCAGAGGAAGGGACTTTTCCTGTTTTCTGGCACAAGGGGAAACAAAACAATCATCCCCCTTTTCCTGGGCACCCTCTCAGTGCTGGATTGGAGCCCCAGGAGGTGCCAGCTTTTCCTGGGGCACTTGCAAACCCACCCTGCTGCAGTGTGGGGAGTCTCTGGTGGCTGATATAGGGTTGCGCTCCAGCCCGACGCTGGTGGGTCTCCTTGATGGGGTGGGGGCGTTTTTGCATGTGGTGGCACCGGGGGCATTTTGGAAGTGGTGAGTTGTCACTCGATGGTGACAACCCAGCACCAAATCCATGCGGATTTGGGGCGGAATCAGGCCCTGGGGCAGAGCCGCTGCTTCTTTCCCCGTCCCGTCTCCTTTCAGAGCTGGAGCGGAAGAGCTCAACCTCCGGCCCCCTTCGGGAAGGCCGGGATATTTATAGTGGCCTCGCTCAGGGTGTTGGGATTCACTCCCGGCCCAGCCAGCTCCAACTCCCGCAGCGGCCTCCGGGTAATGGGGCTAGATYTGGGCCCTGTTCCGGTGCTGCGGCATCTCCACGCACCCCAGTTTCCCCAGTACGATGCCTCATTCCCAGGGGAGCTCCTGGGGACCCCCCCCGAAGGTGGCTGGTGAAGGAAACCATCCCAGGGATGTCCCCGGGGGGCCCTGCTCTTGGGACGCCTCCTCCCTGGATTCCTCCATGCCGTTGCCTTCCTGCAGGTGCCGCAGCCACCATCTTGGCTGTCCCCAGCGGGTGCCCAGGGCTCCCCGGCTCTGTGCCCATGGAGTGARGCAGCGCAGGGGGTCCCTGTGCCGGTGGCAGCCCCTTGCAGCGGGAACGCTGGCCACCACCGCCAAGATGAGCGACTTCTGGCACAAGTTGGGCTGCTGTGTTGTGGAGAAGCCACAGCCTGTGAGTAGCTCCGAAGGGGCCACTTTGGGGACGGATTTGTCACCCAGGACAAAGTAGGGGGTCCGTGGGAAGCAAAGGTTGCAGGAGTTAATGGCCTTCAACTGCTTGTAGAAGAAGAGGAGGAGACGGATYGACCGCTCCATGATTGGGGAGCCCATGAACTTCGTGCACTTGACGCACATTGGTTCTGGCGACATGGCCGTCGGCGAAGACCTGCCCATGGTACCGAACCCGCGCTCACGGCTGGGTGACGGGTGTTAGGGGAGGGCAGGAGGACTCAGGGATCGGTGATGGGGAGCATTGTTGGAGCTGGTGGGATCTGGTGGTGGGGTGATGGGTCTTGTGGTTGGGCCAGTGGGTTTCCTGGTGTTCACAGTGTGGCAGGCAGGTCTCAGAGCTGAGCAGTGGGTCTCACAGTTGGCTGATGGGTCTCATGATTGGATGATAATGTCTTGTTGTTGGGTGAGAGGCCTTAAGGCTGGATGAGAGGCCTCATRCTAGGGCTGGTGAAGCCCAGGACTGGATGATGGATGTCACAACTAGGTTGCTGGGTCTCACAATTGGGTGCCAGGTCTCATGGTTGGCTGATGGGTCTCTGTGCTCTCCCTCAGACTGGTGCCGTCCAGGAGATGAGGTCCAAGGGTGGCCGGGAGCGACAGTGGAGCAGCTCCCGGGTGTTGTAGCGTGAGTACCTGGCAGTTTCGGTGCCCAAGATACCCCTGAGCATCTCGCTCGCCTAAGGCAGCTTTATTCCCTCATCCCCCAAACTGTCCATATCCGTCCATCCAGGGCTTTGCTAACCTGGCACCTCTTGGACATTGCAGGTTCCCAGCAATTTCAACCCAACCTTGAACTGCCTTGTCCTCGATGTGGGGAAGAGCTGCCCTCAAGCATTTCGTCCCCGGTAATTTATGCCACCGCCGCCGTGCCCGCTGCCCTGTGCCGGCGTTTCCTGCTGACCCCCGTCCCGTGACCGCCATGTTGCTCCAGCGGTTCCCACGTGGCTCCCTCCATCCCGGAGCTCCGCAAGCATCAGTCCCCCGGAGYGACCTCCCTCCCGAACTGCATGAGGGGCCCATGTGCCAAACGCTCCCCAGGACCGGCGCCAGGAAGAGTGCGGAAAGCGGAGGCCAGGCGGCTCCCACGGCATCACTCCGACCCTGGCGATGAGCCTGCGCTTCCCACCCACCGCCCCGCGCCTCCCTTCTTTTTCTAGGGTATTTTATAGCTCACCCAGCACCGGTGCTAACCGGGAGCGCCGGCAAGGAGGGACTCACTCTGGCTCCAATGTGTCTGTAGTGGAAAGTGTGCTGGGAAGCCCGGTCCTGGCTCTTCCCTGCTGTTGGTGGCGTGGGAAGTCGCCCTCCCACTGTGGAAAACACCCGGAGAAAAACCAGTCCTGGAAATAAAACCCTCGTGCTGGCCCGAGAGGCTCCCAGCTCTAATGGGGCCCAAGCCACGAGCGCCTTGATGCAGCAGCTGGGGTGGAACTGAGARGAGCTCCAGCTCTCCTGGAGCCTGCAAGGATGTGGGAATGGGGGGGACGGGGCTCACTGGCGAGGGCCATGCATGCTGGCTTTCTGTGTGCGCGGCACGCCGGCTTTGTACGTTCCCTTTGCACGCTCCCTTTGCACGCTCACGCTGGTTGTCCCCATCACCGCTGCCGTCGCTGTCTCCATCATCTCCAGGGAGAGCCCAGAGTCCAGATTTCCCGGCCTTCCCACCCTGTTTCCAAACCCAACGCTGTCCCTAGTCTGCCCTGCAGACCCCCCCTGCAGCAGGGGGACAGCTCCGAAACTTCTTGACATGCAGGGGACCCCCAGCAAGGTCTGTATTGGTGGCAGAACCCCATACGAGACCTCTGGGACCCCATATACCGTTCACCCTGGGGAACCTGGGGTGGCCACAGTGGCCGGGCTCCACCAAAGGCCCCAGTGACAGTGATGGCATTGGTGGCTCCTCCAAATGGGTTTGGCCATGTTGCACCCTGGGGATGCAGAGGGGATTGAGCCCAGTGCAAAAGGGCCCAAAGATCCCCCTGGCACCGTAGGGTGGCTCTGAAATGCCCACAGAAGAGCTGGGAGTCAAAAGTGGAGGAAAAGAGGGAAATTTAATCCTCAAGAAGGAAATTTAATCCTCAAACTACTCAGAAAACCGTACCAAACTGCCCCTCTTGGGCTGCATGTGCAAAGGGCGCCGTGCAAGATGGGGGACGGACCAGGCGCCCATGCTCCCTGTCCTCCCTCCAAGCAGGCAAGAACAGGTTAAAATCCCTGCAAATGCCTTTGTYACCCAGGAACCGCGGCCCTGGCTCCTCAGAGCTGGCTCCCCAGCAAACTCGTCACGCGTGTGATCCTGGCAGGCACCATCTGGGCTGGAAATGGGTCAGGAGAAACAGCTCCATGTGTGGCCCTCCCAGCTCCGAGCAAGGGGGTTAATGGAGCAGGGTGAGAGCCAGCACAGGGGGCACCTGCCGGGGGCTGCCCCCGAGCCCCCTGGCACCGCTGTCATTCCGGGGGGCTGCCGCAGGCCGGGGGCTGCGCGGTGGCGATGCGGCTGACGCGCTCATAGACGGCCTGGGGACAGAGCGGGGGCACGGCCTGTGCCAGGGGACACTCGTCCACCAGGCTGTTCACCGGCGTGGGCGGCAGCGCCACGTCGTCCTCGGGGGCGGCTGGCGGGGGGCCCAGCACCGTGCGCAGGATGGGCAACACCTTTTTGCGCGAGGCCAGCGTGTTGCCTTGGGTGTAGGCGCAGACGCAGGGCCAAGGACTGGGGAGGGGCTGGAGCTCCAGGGACGGCGTCGTGGCCTCCTCCAGCGCCCGGCACATCTGGAGGGGCGGCGAGCGGTATGTGGCGGGTGCCGCTGCCAGCACCCACTGCCTGGACAGCTGCCCCGCTGCGGCCCCGCAGCACTCACCGCGCTGCGGACGTCCTCGCGCTGGCTGTACACTGCGAGCTGCCGGAAGGGCTCGTTCCGCTCGTTAAAGGAGACGGTCATGGCCAGGAGCCCCGCGAAGTCCCGCGCCTGGCAGAAGGCCTCCAGGTCCTGCAGCAAGCCGGGCCGGCGCAGGAACACCTGGGGCGCAGGGGCAGGTGCTGGCATCACCCCGGCTGTCCCTGTGGTGCCAGCCCGCGCCGCAGTCTCCCCTTGGCGAGCCTCACCTCCAAGACYACGTAGATGCCGCTGATGCCGAGGGCCAGCTCATCGCTGGCGACGACTTTGAGGTCTTTGCGCAGCATCTGCTCCGTTGTGAGGTCTGGGGGCAACGGGGACCCCAGGGGAGACGGGGGGCTCAGCCCGGCCTTGGGAACATGTCCTTGTTCCCCGCTCCAGGAGAGTGGTGGCCAAGCTCGCTCATCTCACCTGAGACGTCAAATTTGGCTGCTTGCAGAGCTTTGTAGACGCYGTCGCGCTCCGGCAGCTCAGGGAATCGGGACTCCAGCAAGGCGACGCAGGCCGTGTCCCTGGGCGTCACCTTGCCGCCTGCAGGGCTCAGGTTGATGCAGTCCAGCAGGATGGTGCCTGCGGCGTGAGCCCAGCAGCCATCAGCGCTGCGCCATCGCGGGCCGCCGTACGCAGCAGGGTCCGCGCGTGCTCACCGTGCAGCAGTGCGGCCATCAGCGCATCCAGAACACCCGGCGGGCCCTGGGCGATGCGCTCTGTCACCAGCGTGGCGCAGGAGCCCACGGACTCTGCCGTGACGCGGCAGCGCGGCGCCCGCTCCCGCTCCAGCGGCCGGTGGTCGAGGACCTCCACCACCGCCTCCTCCAGCGCCGCGTCAGCCCTGCGGGCCAAGGCGGGAACCGGCAGAGCAGGGCAGTCCCGGCCGTGCACAAAGAACCACAGAATCCCAGGATGGGTGAGGTTGGAAGGGACCCCTAGGGATCACCTAGTCCAACCCCCTGCTCCAGCAGGGACACCGAGAGCACTTGGCAAAGGGTCACRTCCAGACAGGTTTGGAAGATCTCCAGAGGAGATTCCTCAGCCTCCCTGGGCAGACTGTGTCAGGGCTCTGGCACCCTCACAGTGAAGAAGTTCCTCCTCATATGGAGATGGAACTGCCTGGGTTTCAACTTGCACCCATTGGCCCTTGTCCTGTCCCTGGCCACCACGAAAAGAGTTTGGCCCCTTCCTCCCTACATTCTCCCTTCAGGTACTTAGACATATTGCTCAGATCCCCTCTCAACCTTCTATTCTCCAGGCTAAAAAGGTCCTGCTTGCTTGGTCTCTCATACAAGAGATGCTCCAGTCCCTTCACCATCTTTATTTTTCTCCCCTGAACCCTTTCTGGAAGTTCCACATCCCTCTTACAATGGGGAGCCCATAACTGCACACAAAACGCCACCAACAGAACCTGGAAAACCTCTTTGCTCCTCTCCTTCTACCTGAAAACACCTTGAGAGGGAAAGGGAAAGATTTCACCCACTCTGAGCCATAACTGAGCACTCACATGGAGCATATCTGGTAACGGGGGTCCCCGGACTGGGAGCTGTCCCCCCTGGCCCATGTCACCTCCGCACTCACCTGGGCAGGACATGGTGATCGACCAGCGTGAGGGAGAGCAGCCCGGCTCGGTGCAGTGCGGCCAGGTCGATCTCGTCGCGGAAGACGAGGGAGGTGTCAGGGACGCGCTGCTGTCGCAGCAGGGCCACCGTCTCCGTGCGCAGCGCAAAGTCCGCGCGCGGGATGTTGAGCACGGGCACGAAGGCAGTGTGGCACATTGGCGAGGTCTGCGGAGGTGACGCCGCCCGCGGACGGGGTCACCCGCGGACGGGGTCACCCACCACGGCCCTCTCCGCGAATCCTCCCCCTGGAGCAAGACTCACCTGCGCCAGGAAATAGGCCATGGCCAGAGCAGACACGGTGGAGTCCAGGTCGCAGGCCTCGTTGCCCATCACCACGTGCACCTCCTGCTGCCGTCGCACGTGCTCCTGTGGCACGAGGGGGACCTCAGGCAGCTCCCAGGGGAGGCCCTGCCCACGGGCCCTCGGCGGTGACAGATATTTCATGGCCTGACCCAGTTTTAGGTGTTTTTTTCCCCAGAAGCAGAAGTGAGGAACAGAGGGCCACACTCAGTGCAGGACCCCGCTGCCTCTGGGGGCCTTTCGGGGTCCCCTTTTGGGGTCTAATTGAGGCCAAGGGGAGGCCGTGGATGCTGGTAGCTCTGGACAAGGCTGTGGGTACCCTCGGCAACGTGGGGGGCTGAAGGACAGGCTCAGGGTCCACATTTAGGCTGGGGAGGGACGAATCCATCACCCTGCACCCCCAGCACCCCAGCAGCCCCCAGCTCCACCAGCACCCCTGCAACTTTCCAGCATCCCCTGCACCCCCTATAGACCCCCTGCAACCTCCCTGCACCCCCCTGCATCTCTGCAACCGCTCAGCACCCCTGCACCTTTCCAGCACCCCCTTCGATCCCCATGCAACGTCCTTGCACCCCCTCGCACCCTTACAACCCCCAGCACCCTCACAACTTTCCAGCACTCCCAGCACCCCGCTGCACCCCTATAGCCCCCCTGCACCTCCCTGCACCCCTCTGTACGCCCCTTCACTTCAGCACCGCGACCCCCTCCCCTCGCCGCCCTATGGCCGCCCCCGCGGCCCGCCCGCTACCTGCAGGGCGGCGCGGCGCCCCTCGAGGAACCGCTGCATGGCGGCGGCCCCGCCGGTGCCCTCCGCTAGCGGCCGGTGCCGCCCCCAGTGCCGCCTGGGCCTGGGCGCGTCCCCTCAGCGCGGCCTGCCC